CAGTGCTTCTTGAGAAGATGATTTTCCCTATATATTTTTATGTAAAACTTGAATTTCCTATTCTGGCCAATAATTTAGAATTTAAGCTATCCTAGGATGCTTCCACATAAGTTTCAGTTTTTCTGGCCCAGTGGTTCTTGAGAAGAAGATTTTTTAATGACCCTATCCTATTTTTGTCTTTTCTTGATTATCTCTACTTGGAATTTAATAATTATTTTAATAATCAGATTCCCCTTCAACCATGGATGCTTTGTTCCAAGTTTGATTAAAATTGGCCGAGAAGTTCTTGAGAAGTTGAAAATGTGAAATCTCTACAGACGGATGGACGCACGGACAGCTAGGCAGACGGACCGACGACGGACAACGGGTGATCAGAAAAGCTCACTTTGAGCTTTCAGCTGAGATGAGTTAAAAAGTAAAAACAATCGTTTGAATAGTAATTCAAAGATTCACTATGTACAGTGTTTTGCCCACGACAATGCTAGTCCTGTAGGACCTTTATACTTACTTTGATATATTGATGTGTGCAAATGCAAAATCAAATTGATTTTAAGTAGTAAATATAGCTATGCTTAATTAAAAAGATCTAAATAATAAAATCCCAGCTGTTCGATTTTATTTTTTGGGATGATACAAATACGCAGGTTATTTTATGAATATTGATGAAAAATAAAGAGAAATATTGTATTTTTTCCGATAAAATGATGGCATAAATATTATCATAATCATTCCACTTATTGTTCTCGTGCAGGCTTAATTAAGCTTCTCAATGAGCTACATCTAACCTTACAAGCCCCTAAACCTTCGAATATAAGCTAAACAGACAGCTGTGAAGTGGATATAATGTTTGGAATTTTCATCCTTATCTAAGCTCGTTAATAAACAGTTTAAAAACATATGGTTTAGTGTTTTCTTCTTCATTTCCCTGATGTGATCATTTACTTTAACAGAGTTCTCAACATACTAGTCCATCCAAAAATATAGAAATACTTGTCACATTCCATTTCCTGAAAATTCAAGGTCATTTTATTTGGGTCTTTTGAACTCGCATTGATTTCTTAAAAATATATATTGAGTTATAAACGCATACATAGTATGCATCTGCAAGCAACGAATAAATTAATTTTGATGAAAAACCATTTATTAAAGCGACAAGGTGAAAAACTTCCTTCCGGATGTAATATTTTATCAACGAAGAAGCTATATTTATTTAAAAACAAATATTTTATCAGTTTAAGTAAGACAAAGTCACACAATTACATTTAAAAATTTTTTAAAAATTACTAAATTTTTTATATATAATTAATAATTTAATGTATTATGCATCATTTGTGCAAGTTTGGTTTATATAAGCAATTCAAAGTTTATCTGAAACATCATTTAGTGTGTATCCTATAAAGATAAATGCAGGTTTGCACAACATAGGGCTCATAGTTACTTGGAAATCATAAAAAATTTAATCTCTTTCATGTATGTAGGTCAATTGTTAATGTATCATCCATGCAAGTTTGGTCATTAAAGAGCCCATAGTTACTTGGAAATGAATCCTGCGCGAAAAACTTTAACCTGTTCACTCAACAGGAAAATGTGGGTCAGATTCAGCATCCGAAGCAAGCCTTGTAGTGTGCATCCTTAGATGTATCATCCATGCAAGTTTGGTCAACATAGGGCTTATAGTTACTTGGAAATACCGTATATCCGGGTTTTTTTGCGTGTTATTATTTTTAACCTTTTCACTCATGTGTTCAGCATCTGAAGCAAGCCTGGTAGTGTCATCCTTAGATATATTATGTAAGTTTGGTCAACATAGGGCTTACAGTTCCTTGGAAATGAGACCTACATATAACCTGCTCCAAAAACATTATGATGCAGCATCTTTTTTTTTCCATGCATGTCTAATCAATATAGGACAAAGAAGAACTGCTCCAAAAAACTTAACCTTAACATGGGACGCCGACGCCGAGGGTATTACATGTACATAAGCTCCCCCAACTTCGTTGAGGTGAGCAAAAAAGTACTAATTTTTTATGTATAATTTAATGTATTACAACTTATCCAAAGTTTGAAACTCATTTTTTTTCTTGATAAATAGGAAATAAATTTAAATTTTCAATCAATTGTAATACTGTTGAAGGGCGAAGCGGTTTATAAAAAAGCGTTAACTCTTCTAACCCAGGTTATACCGTATAACTAGGGTTCTTTACTATTTAATGTTTCTACTCTTAAGTATAGGAAACAAAGACAATATAACTTCAAATATAAGAATTTTTTTTTAAAATGTAACGTCAAAGCGGATTGATATGTTTTTGACGCACGTCATTATGACGTAGGCAACCCAGGTTATACAATATAGAACATAATTTTTCAGCCAATCAGAAAGCGTGTTACAAACAGAATTAAATTGTTTGTGAACTGTCTAAAGATCACAAAGAGCCACCCATAGCAACCAATACTTTGATTTTAAATCTCTGAATTTGCCCGAAGAACGTAACACTTACTTTGTTATAATGTGTGAAGTTAGTAAATAACATACAATTAAATGACTGTGAGAATGTTACAAATATTCGATACAGCATAAAAATATTGATACAAGGAATATCTTAAATCCTACCAAATTATACAACAAAGTCGGTCAAACTTCTAAGGAAAGAATTGCTGAAATACATATATACTATTTAACCTTTCTTTTTCCTTTGAAACATAAGAGAAACAGTCCATCCACCCCATTCCCCACACAAAAATAGAAATTTCGAATTTGGGCAGTTAGGTTTCTTTTTGTAGAGTCCCCCTTTTAATGAAGTTTAGAAACTTGTTTTCATTTTTATGATTTACCCTTGTTGCTCCTTTGTTTGCCCCTTGAGTCCATTGCTACGGGTCTGCATACAACATTTCATCATTGTGTCTTATGAGAGAGAAAAGGGAGTAGTAAAATACTTTAAGAAAGCTGTATAAAACGTTTGATCATTGTTGATGAATCTTAAACTTCTTTTTGAGGGACCTAGTATAATGAATGAAAACTCACTGTGGTCGACACAAATGGACCTAATACTCTTTATTCAATTTTTATTAAAAATCTAAAACATCATCTCAAACTTTCACCCAGATATTAGCATAATTAGTATAATTAAATATGACTCAGAAATTATATATGTCGGAGCAGTATAGATGCTGATTATATAACAGATATATAAGCAATAGAAATTCTAAAACATAGAGCACATCATAATAAAATTAATTTCATAAAAAAGTATAAAACCTGCACCCTATAGCATTTGATCAAAGGAGCGTGTCAGTCTATTTAGGGTTATTATCAAACATTTTGTATTATCTACTTTATTTGTTTCTGATTCATACAGTCATATAGTATGTGTTCAATCATCTGCATGTCTGCAGTAAAGAATTGAAATTGTCTTCATACTACAATATATCGGTCGTCATTGAAAAAAAAGCAACTGAGCTTGCGTTGATCATATTTTTCAAATCTAGACTAACTCCCCCCCCCCCCCCCAACCTCATTTTTCTCAAGAGCAGTATTTTACTATATATGAATTTTAAAATTAATCGTGGAAATTTCTATCCATTTTTTTATTTGGTTGCCCATCAATTATTCAGCCATTTTCCCCCTGACTGTCCTTCCTAGTAGCCTTCTTTGAAATCCATCTTAACTTTCTTTGATATATATACAATCTCCAATGATATATGAAGATAGCGAACAGCTATCATACTTATAAGTATTTTTTTTATGCAAATCGACTTTAAACATGTTAATGGTCAAGTTGAAGGCCACAAGGAGTGTTTTCTTTTTCTCATGTATATATCGTTTTGGATAAAAATCCGACTCATATGAATACAAAAATACAGTGTAGGTCTGCTAAGAACGGGGCGCAGTTGGTACCCATGGTTATTCCAACAGATTGCTACAAGACTTGGTCTCCAAAAATTAAATACATATAGATAGTGTCAACTAGAAACCAAAGCATATTTTGAATATCAACTTTAGAGTGCTTGGGTGAATCCATCTTTGCTAGCCAAGGGTTTCTGATACGCAACTCCCCTCATTATCAGGAGAATAATGTATCAGAAACCCTTGGCTAGTGAAGACGTGGTGTATTAAGCACGAAAATAGCCATCTTACATATATAATATTTAAAATATTAAAAAGACATCATGTACAGACATTATATGTTTATAATCTATAATCTGAAATAATTTTTAATAATAGCTATCGCAAAGATGTCTCTCTATCCTTCACCCCGTATTAACAATTTTTGGATCCTCCACTTTTTCAGGGATGCTATAAAAGACACTCTACCCAATTAAAAGACATAAAACATGAAGTTGACAGTGGACAAATATTGACGTACGTATCCATTACCCAAACTTCGGCGTCCCACCTCAAGAATTAAGGGCCGTCATTAAATGTCAATAAATACAAGAACCTAGACTTCTCGTCATATGCCCTTAAATACACCACATTTAACAACAATTGTACGCAGGCAGGGAGCCGGCTAATTTGAGGGCAGTCTTTCACAATTTGATACTTGCGATAGGACCTGATGTGCAGATACTGGCAAGATATCTTTTGTATACATCTTATCATATGATTATCCAACAGGTACTTGTTAATATATTATACTTTTTATAGGTCAGCTGAAGGACTCACGCACGCAGATCCTTCGATATATATTGCCGCAATTGTCGTAAATTTAATTTAGGGGTGGGGGTAGACATTTGGAGTAGGGATGCTGCAATTTATCCCCCTACACACGCACAGAGAGAGAGAGAGAGAGAGATTCAAACACCATATAGTAGTCTTTATATGCATACTTGTGATTATCAGTTTAAAAAGCCGTGTATGTCACTGTGTTCTGTTTTGCAACTCACTAGATACGTGTTACATAATAAGCACCCGGGCACCTATACCTCCTGATGAAGAACCGATAAGATCGTCCTACCTGAGAATTAAAAAGAAATATCTGAACTATAAAATTAATTTTTACCTGAACTAGTTCCTCGTGTGTTTAAAATTGTATTTCTGGTCGTCAGTTTTAAAAATCCCTGAATATAAGTTCAACGTAAAATCAGAATCACTTATAATCCCAGAGAGAACTGACCACAATTCAGGTTTTTAACATGTTTCAGTTCCATTCACGTGTTCAGTTCACTTGTTGTTAACTCACAAATCACTCACATATTCCCTAATTGAAAGAGGCAGGAAAAATTACAACTTTTGCGTCTAAACATTTGAAAGAATGCACTTTATTTCCATAATATGCATTCCAATCTCACAGTACCCCCTTATTTCAAGTGTTTTCCTCCATGTTTTGTACGGTAAAAGGCCTGTGTTACACACGACGGCGGATTAAATAACTTCCGTTTGCTATTTAAATACCTCTTGGGTTCAGTGCATAACTTGAAAAGTAAATAATAACAAAACACAGTGTTGATTTTGAATAGAAGAGAAGTGTCGTCAATTACTCGGCTTTAAAGGTTCGATCTTGACATACTTTTTGCCCGTACTCTCTCATTCCTGTTAAGAGTAAAACATGGCCGAGTTCTAATTTAATAAACCATAAAAATTGGGAGAACTAAAGCGGAACTGAATTAAGATAGTATGAGTCATATATTTGAGTGGAGAGAAAATTGCTAATTTGCGTAAAATAATAAAAAAAAAATGCAAGCTGACATTTTATGGAAATTCACGTTATTTTTTTTTAATGACGAATTTTAGTTCAGTGAAATTTTTGGAAATAATTATATCATTTCATTGCTAAATTTATGTTAAATAATAAACTTTTTTATATTCTTAAACTGAAGTATTTTATATAATTGATATTTTTGACGATCTTAAACTTGCCTTTAGTGTATAATTAGTGTATATAGCTGTAATACAGATGGGTTCACTTTTTATACCTGAAACCAACATCTCTTAGAAAGTGTGACGATGCGTACCTGTTCATGTACATATATACGTATACCCCCAACCCCCTCCCTTGTGGACAATCGAGAGGGAAAATATCCCACATTATAGGCACATACCTCTAATTTTTTCCCAGACCAACTTTAAAATAATGCACATGTTTGTTTGCCCTTTCCCGACTAAAAAGTCTGGAAAGATATTGGATTGGTGGGTAGGAGAATTTTTTTTCTTAGAAAATTTCCATTTCAATGTTTTTTATTCTATTTTTCAAAGTACATAAAAAGAATAATTGTTTCCTGGATGTTAAACAAGAGGCCCATGGGCCACATTGCTCACCTGAGCACTAAGGGTAGGAAAAAGTAGAAAATGGCTTTTTATTGTAAAGTTTAAATCCAAAAGTAGTCCCATGGCCAATCATGGATTTGCTATTTTTTAGAAAATGATTTTTAAAGAATTTTCCTATATATATCTTTAAAAACTTTGGTCGGCCATTTTGGCCCCGCCCTACCCCGGGGGGTCATGATTTGAACAAACTCGAAACTACACTACCTGAGCATGCTTCCGTATAAATATGATGAATTATGGCTTTGTCATTCTTGAGAAGAAGATGTTTAAAGAATTTTCCTATATATTTCTATATATTTTGGCCCCGCCCTATATATATAAACTTGAATCTACACTACCTGAGCATGCTTCCATATAAATATGATGAATTATGGCTTTGTCATTCTTGAGAAGATTTTTAAAGAATTTTCCTATATATTTCTATGTAAAACTTCGGCCATTTTGGCCCCACCCTACCCCCGGGGGTCATGATTTGAACAAACTTGAATCTACACCCTGAGCATGCTTCCATATAAATATATGATGAATTATTGCTTTGTCATTCCTGAGAAGAAGATTTTTAAAGAATTTTCCTATATATTTCTATGTAAAACTTTGGTCGGCCATTTTGGCCCCGCCCTACCCCCGGGGGTCATTTTGAACAAACTTGAATCTACACTACCTGAGCATGCTTCCATATAAATATGATGAATTATGGCTTTGTCATTCTTGAGAAGAAGATTTTTAAAGAATTTTCCTATATATTTCTATGTAAAACTTTGGTCGGCCATTGTGGCCCCGCCCTACCCCCGGGGGACACACACACAACACACACACTTGGGGATGTTTCCACATAAGTTTCATTTTTCCTGGCACAGTGGTTCTTGGGAAGAAAATTTTGAAACATCCCATCAAATTTTCATTAATTTCCAAATATCTCCCCGTGAATGAGTGCGTGGCCCTTCATTTGAACAAACTGGAATTCCCTTTAAGCAATGATGCTTTGTGGCAAGTTTGGTTGAAATTGGCCCAAGAAGAAGTCGAAAATGTGAAAAGTTTACGGACAGACAGACAGACGGACGGCGTACGGACGCCGGACAAAATGTGATCAGAAAAGCTCACTTGAGCCTTCGGCTCAGGTGAGCTAAAAAGTTTTGAGTCGGGCCATTTCAGCCAGTCGGTCGGGAGAGGGCGACCAAAGAATTTCTGAAAGATGGCCCTATCCAGATTTAGACAATCGAAAAACAAAGCACTACAGTGTGTACATAAATATAGTACATAGTTATATATATATGTAACAAAACAGCTAAAAATACATAATATTTTTATAATATACTTTACAGGTAATGCACGCACGTAAGAAATAATGATATAACACAGACATCTAGGTGATAACGGTTGAACTTTGGAAAACTCCCAAACATAAGTCTATGGTAAAACATAACAGTTCCTGATACCATGCATCTGCTCTTCCAAATTAACACTTTGAATTCGAGTTTAGCGGAACCATGTTTTCAGATCTCGTTATCATTTAGATCCTACATTTCGTTTATGTTTTTTTTGTAAAATCTATACTCTGGGCTGACTGAATTTTGATAGCCTTTTATCAAATTTTATTTTTGGAACAAAGCCTGTTTTCAACTCTCTACCAGGTACAGGTTGTATATCATTGCTTTTTAATGAAACAAACGAAATGAAAAATAAATCCATGTCGTAATGTAACTGCAAAGCAGAGCAGAGAGAGAGAGAGGGGGGGGGGGCAGTAAACTAAACTTTAAATGGACATTGTAAAGTATATTAATTTAAGGTAAGACAACCCGTTCTCTTGCAAAACTTTCCAGATTATGGTACATGTATTTCCAACACAATCTTTCACAGAATTGCTCATTTAACAATATGGTTTATAATTCTTAAAGGTATTTTAAAAATATTGAAAATATTTTAAAAAAAAAAATAATGAAATATTAGAGAGGTTGAGATTTTAAACTTGTACGTGTAGGTTTAAAGATAATTACAGACGTTTACTTTAATGTTTGAAATCTCAACCTCTTATACGTATCTCTTACCCTCCCCCCGAAAAAAATACATGTTCATAAGAAGAGAACAAGTCCAATCTCTTACATAAATGACGAGTTTTACAGACTTTTAAAACACATTTGTTTGCACCCCCCCCATACACACAAGGACTGAACTGTGGAGTTAGGGTAAACTGACTAAGGTGCCACCTAACAAAGATAACATTAACTACTCTCCACCCAATCTCACCTTTCATTAGATTCCACCAAAATTTAATATACGACTAAAATTTTTGATTTCTTGAAAATTTTACCCTATAACAGGCTACATGTAGTTAGAATTGAAAATCCTTCTTCGGTTTACAAACTGTCACAAAACTTCCACAGTGTCAGCAATAATCAGAAATGTGTCCTTATGAATTGAATTTTAGAGGGGAGATCAGGCCCCCTTTTGTGTCCAAAATGTACATAAGATTTAATAAATCATTTTGGGAGGGGGGTGACATATGGGCCCCTACCCCGACCCCACACTTGTCGCCCCCTTTTCAAGAGTCTTGGATCCGCCACTGAATTCAATGTACAAATGTATAATAATATACAGACCTTTGATGTATAATAAAAACTGCTATTCCGTCCAGTAAACCTCACAGATACAAATTTCTGACATTGAAGTCGAGTCGGATCGCTGTGTTATATATAAATGTTAAAAGGAAGCACGTGTAAGATCTCTGATATTTGTAGAAAAAATATAGTGAGTAATGCTTCAACTAAAAATATCACTTTTTATTATTCACTAGGGATAATGTATTACATAGAGCTTCTTTTTAAAATCGGTTAATTAATTATGGAGGTTAGTTGTACTTTTGCAGTTGAGGTTGTAATATCCGAAAATGCGATAAAATTATGCATTTAGGTTATGGTCAAACGATCAAATACCAATCTGATGAATTCTGAACAAACTTTTAAGATTCACTAGTATAAGTTATAGTTACCATTAATTCTAACTACAGTCTAAGTTTTGTGTGTTTAATAAATTAAATATGCGACATCTTCGAAAATTTGACTGCAGAATCTAATGCAAGCAATGCGTTCTTTAATGTTGGGGGACTGACTGTTAGACCTGAACTAGGAGAGAGAGAGAGAGAGAGGGAGGGGCAATGAAATTGTTTTCATCCCAAACGTGACAATTCACGCACATTTAGTTGCATTCTAATTAAGCAATGGTTATTTAAAACTAAAAGGCAAAATAATCACCCCAAAATACATTTTCTAAACATAAATAAAAGATATCCTCAATTTTCACACTAAAATATTTAATTGAACTAGCAATTGTACGAACACGGATTTTCCCTGCACCGAGATCGGCTTTTGTCTGAAGTCATCTCGTTCGAATTCCCCTTCCTCAATCGTATCATCTTCAGAAGAGGGAGATTATTCAGATAACATCATCTCATCGTGTTCGGGGAAAGTTATTAATATCTTTTCTTTTTCATTTTTTCGTGACTGGGGAGGGATAGGGGGAGGCGTCGCTATAGCGCTAAGTCAGGTTCATTCAGTTTAGTTCGTGTTCTGTTTGTTATTCTGGATAAACCTGTACCCTTTTATTGTTCTTATCTTCTAAATCCATTCCCTTTCATTAAATTAAAAAATCGAACTACTTACTAGCTTACCAAAAAAAAAAAAAAAAAAAAATTCGAACACCCCACCCCTATCAATGTTTTCCCGGCCTCCGCTGATGAATCATCCTGTGGAAATCCCAAAAAATATTCACTTGACTTGGTTTTATTTTTAAGATTAACGACCATTTACATTTACATTGTGTAATGGAGCGCGATTTTTTCAGCAGCGTTTAGAGATACTCGTTAAATTCGAAGTTGATTTTTTAACTGTCTTTAAGAGAGAGTGAAAAGGCAATGATCTCAAACAAGAGGCCCATGGGCCACATCGCTCACCTGAGAAGCTTTGACCATTCTGTTCTTTACGAGATTTCACCCTTGTTATACATAATGCATCCCCACCCTACCCCACAGATCATAATTTAGACATTTTGAAATCTACACCCCCACATGATCCTTCCATGGGCACATATGTTTCAGCTTTATTGGCCCAGTGGTTCCTGAGAAGAAGATTTTCAAAGATTTTCCCTATATATTTCTATGTAAAACTTTGATTCCCTATAATGGCCCCGCCCTCAAAATTCCTAAATTTAGAATTTACACTACCCCATGCTATATAAGCTTCACTTTTTCTGGCCCAGTGGTTCTTAAGAAAAATTTCAAAGATTTTTCCTATATATTTCTATATAAAACTTTGATTCCCCATTGTGGCACCACCCATTTTAATTGAACAATTTGAATTACATTATACCAGGATGCTTCCACATAAGTTTCAGCTTTTCTGGCCCAGTGGTTCTTGAGAAGAAGATTTTCAAAGATTTTTCCTATATATTTCTATGTAAAAATTTGATACCCCATTGTGGCCCCGCCCTTTCCCTGGGGGTCATGATTTGAACAATTTAGAATCTACACTATACCAGGATGATTCCACATAAGTTTCATTTTCTGGCCCAGTTTCTTACAAGAGATTTTCAAAGATTTTTCCTATATATTTCTTTATAAAACTTTGATTCCCCATTGTGGCTCCACCCATCCCCCGGGGGTCATGATTTGAACAATTAAGAATCTACATTATACCAGGATGCTTCCACATAAGTTTCAGCTTTTCTGGCCCAGTGGTTCTTGAGAAGAAGATTTTCAAAGATTTTTCCTATATATTTCTATGTAAAACTTTGATTCCCTATAATGGCCCCGCCCTTCCCCCGGGGGTCATGATTCCTACAATTTAGAATTTACACTACCCCAGGATGCTTCCACATAAGCTTCACTTTTTCTGGCCCAGTGGTTCTTAAGAAGAAAAATTTCAAAGATTTTTCCTATATATTTCTATATAAAACTTTGATTCCCCATTGTGGCTCCACCCATCCCCCGGGGGTCATTAATTGAACAATTTAGAATCTACATTATACCAGGATGCTTTCACATAAGTTTCAGCTTTTCTGGCCCAGTGGTTCTTGAGAAGAAGATTTTCAAAGATTTTTCCTATATATTTCTATGTAAAAATTTGATACCCCATTGTGGCCCCGCCCTTTCCCTGGGGGTCATGATTTGAACAATTTAGAATCTACACTATAACAGGATGCTTCCACATAAGTTTCAGCTTTTCTGGCCCAGTGGTTCTTGAGAAGATTTTCAAAGATTTTTCCTATATATTTCTTTATAAAACTTTGATTCCCCATTGTGGCTCCATCCATCCCCCGGGGGTCATGATTTGAACAATTTAGAATCTACATTATACCAGGATGCTTCCACATAAGTTTCAGCTTTTCTGGCCCAGTGGTTCTTGAGAAGAAGATTTTCAAAGATTTTTCCTATATATTTCTATGTAAAACTGTGATTCCCCATTGTGGCATTGAATATGATTTGAACAATTTTTAACTATACCAGGATGTTCCACATAAGTTTCATTTTCTGGCCCAGTGGTTCTTGAGAAGAAGATTTTCAAAGATTTTTCCTATATATTTCTATGTAAAACTTTGATTCCCCATTGTGGCCCCGCCCTTCCCCCGGGGGTCATGATTTGAACAATTTAGAATCTACACTATACCAGGATGCTTCCACATAAGTTTCAGCTTTTCTGGCCCAGTGGTTCTTGAGAAGAAGATTTTCAAAGATTTTTCCTATATATTTCTATGTAAAACTTTGATTCCCCATTGTGGCCCCGCCCTTCCCCCCGGGGGTCATGATTTGAACAATTTAGCATCTACACTACCCCAGGATGCTTCCACATAAGTTTCAGCTTTACTGGCCCAGTGGTTCTTGAGAAGAAGATTTTTTAATGACCCCACCCTATTTTGGTCTTTTCTTGATTATCTCCCCTTGCGAGGGGATATGTCCCTTCATTTTAACAATTTAAATTCCCCTTTACCCAAGGATGCTTTGTACCAAGTTTGGTACCCAGTGGTTCTTGAGAAGAAGTCGAAAATGTGAAAAGTTTACAGACGGACAGACAGACAGACGGACAGACGGACGGACGGACGGACGACGGACAAAATGTGATCAGAAAAGCTCACTTGAGCCTTCGGCTCAGGTGAGCTAAAAACCGAAACAGATACGTGTTTCTGTTTGTGGCTGTAAAATCTTTGTTTTGCGCTGAAGTCAATTAAGGTCTAGTAAGCGAAAGGTGCTTACACATTTCTCAAATTCGAGAAATAAATTCCTTTATTTAATGATGCTTCATCGATTAAGTTTGTTAAAATAATTTTGATCAAAGGGTAAATTTTTTTCTACATCACACATTTCTTCAGCTTTATTATTAAAACACTAAGTGAAAATTTTCTATTTTACTTTATTAACATTTTTATTTCCCAGTTTTTACACAGTTAAATCCAAAACTTTTTCTATAATTCCATTCAGCTTCAAGTCTTAGCAGACAATGCTTATGGAGAGTCTTGGTTTCTTTTATCACACAGATATTGTAGTAAGTCTGTCATATCCTGAAGTGTCTGAATTAAGTCCCTTCTGCCTTCCGTGGTCAGGATATTACATTCCTTACTACATTTCACTGTAGCTTCACATCCCACCGCCACATAACCTTGATTCAGATTCTCCATATAGCCTTCATCTGTCACCAGGGATACCACTGTTACCTGTAAAATGTGTTAATGCAGCAGAAATGAGATGAGAGCTCTTCTTTTCTGGGAGATTTAAATAGTCTCAAATTGACCATGATGACTAAACTCAAAATAGATTTGACAAATATACTATTCATACTCTATTCTGTCTTTTCAAGTCCTTTAAAAGGGTCAAAGTAAAATACCAATTTTTAGCATTTAATAATTCAATATTATTCAATTCATAATAAAGACATTAAATTATATTATTGTAAAGCCTATCAGCTGTGGTAAAATGTCTAGAGTTTTCATGTGTTCAGCTAATGCTTGCATACTCCAAAAAAAGGTTTGAATTCAACCAAAATCAGCAATATATCTAATATTTTGAGATACTTGTATGCATGCATTGCCTGAAAATGAAATGCTACACATAGATAGAATGACAGACAGATGGATGGATAGAAAGACCCAAATTAATCCACCTTTGTTTTCAGTGAAAACCAAGAACAAAATCAATAAAATATCTCCTACATTTAGCATATGAATAAATGAATAATAATATTTCTATTTTAACAAGAGGCCCATGGGCCACATCGCTCACCTGAGCACTAAGGGTAGGAAAAAGTAGAAAATGGCTTTTTATTGAAAAATTTAAATCCAAAAGTAGTCCCATGACCAATCATGGATTTGCTATTTTTTAGAAAATGATTTTTAAAGAATTTTCCTATATATATCTTTAAAAACTTTGGTCGGCCCATTTTGGCCCCGCCCTACCCCTGGGGGGTCAAGATTTGAACAAATTTGAATCTACACTACTTGAGCATGCTTCCATATAAATATGATGAATTATGGCTTTGTCATTCTTGAGAAGAAGATGTTTAAAGAATTTTCCTATATATTTCTATGTAAAACTTTGGTCGGCCATTTTGGCCCCGCCCTACCCCCGGGGGTCATGATTTGAACAAACTTGAATCTACACTACCTGAACATGCTTCCATATGATGAATTATGGCTTTGTCATTCTTGAGAAGAAGATTTTTAAAGAATTTTCCTATATATTTCTATGTAAAACTTTGGTCGGCCATTTTGGCCCCGCCCTGCCCCCGGGGGTCATGATTTGAACAAACTTGAATCTACACTACCTGAACATGCTTCCATATAAATATGATGAATTATGGCTTTGTCATTCTTGAGAAGAAGATTTTTAAAGAATTTTCCTATATATTTCTATGTAAAACTTTGGTCGGCCATTTTGGCCCCGCCCTACCCCCGGGGGTCATGATATGAACAAATTTGAATCTACACTACCTGAACATGCTTCCATATAAATATGATGAATTATGGCTTTGTCATTCTTGAGAAGAAGATTTTCAAAGAATTTTCCTATATATTTCTATGTAAAACTTTGGTCGGCCATTTTGGCCCCGCCCTACCCCCGGGGGTCATGATTTGAACAAATTTGAATCTACACTACCTGAACATGCTTCCAAATAAATATGATGAATTATGGCTTTGTCATTCTTGAGAAGAAGATTTTCAAAGAATTTTCCTATATATTTCTATGTAAAACTTTGGTCGGCCATTTTGGCCCCGCCCTACCCCTGGGGGTCAAGATTTGAACAAACTTGAATCTACACTACCTGAGCATGCTCCCATATAAATATGATGAATTATGGGTTTATCATTCTTGAGAAGAAGATGTTTAAAGAATTTTCCTTTATATTTCTATGTAAAACTTTGGTCGGCCATTTTGGCCCCGCCCTACCCCCGGGGGTCATGATTTGAACAAACTTGAATCTACACTACCTGAACATGCTTCCATATCATGAATTATGGCTTTGTCATTCTTGAGAAGAAGATGTTTAAAGAATTTTCCTATATATTTCTATGTAAAACTTTGGTCGGCCATTTTGGCCCCGCCTTGCCCCCGGGGGTCATGATTTGAACAAACTTGAATCTACACTACCTGAACATGCTTCCATATAAATATGATGAATTATGGCTTTGTCATTCTTGAGAAGAAGATTTTTAAAGAATTTTCCTATATATTTCTATGTAAAACTTTGGTCGGCCATTTTGGCCCCGCCCTACCCCCGGGGGTCATGATTTGAACAAATTTGAATCTACACTACCTGAACATGCTTCCAAATAAATATGATGAATTATTGCTTTGTCATTCTTGAGAAGAAGATTTTCAAAGAATTTTCCTATATATTTCTATGTAAAACTTTGGTCGGCCATTTTGGCCCCGCCCTACCCCCGGGGGTCATGATTTGAACAAACTTGAATCTACACTACCTGAGGATGTTTCCCCATAAGTTTCATCTTTCCTGGCACAGTGGTTCTTGAGAAGAAGATTTTTAAAATATGCCACTAAATTTTCATTAATTCCCAATTATCTCCCCTTGAATGAGGGCGTGGCCCTTCATTTGAACAAACTTGAATCCCCTTCACCCAAGGATACTTTGTGGCAAGTTTGGTTGAAATTGGCCCAGCGGTTCTTGAGAAGAAGTCGAAAATGTGAAAAGTTTACAGACAGACAAACAGACAGACGGACGCCGGACAAAATGTGATCAGAAATTGCATAAATGAAAACTTACTTTAGTTCCTTGCACCAAGAAACCATAAATCCCCCAGGAACCCAGGACAGAGGAGGGTAGAACAGCCATCATATCCCCAATCAGCTGACACAGGGGGGCGGATGTAACAGGGTCAGTCTTCAGTTTCTTTGGCCGACTCCCCATTTCTCCCTCCTCCTCACCCTCCCTCTCTGTTCTAGAGTCTTTATCGACCTTAAAAGGAGAAATAAAATGAGTGACATTCAAAATTGGAAAGTAAAATTTTATTGTCATTGTGAAACATTGAACCCTCCCCCTAATAAATTAACATGATTCCATATATATTTTCATTTTCAGATCAATTAAATAACAAAATGTTTACAACACCATCTTCTCTTCAACTTACCTTTATTACTGCAATAGAGTTATCATTTTCTAGATCTTTACAAGAAAGGGACTGCACTACAGCATCTGGAGTTGCAGCTATTCTGTTTTGCCCAATGGGAATAATAAAAGGGTGCATGTTTGACTTCTCACTGAAAAAAAAAAAAATTGTCACTACAGACGTGCAACTCAGTTTCTAGCTAAAGGGTTGTAGCCTTCACAAAAAGAAGAGATAAACATTTATTGACAGACAGATACCTTTCTTTTAGAGAGCTATTAAGAATATTAAAAGCTAGACAAGGATTAATATTATAAGTCAAGTGCTATTTTTAATCATATAAGGAATAAGCATTCCTGATCTATATATCCATCATCTTCACTAGCCAAGGATTTCTGATACGCTACTCTCCTCATGAACCCTTGGCATACGGTGAAGTCAAAAGACGGGATTGTTTTAGTCACATGATCTCGACTCTACCAGGTACAGCACAGATTGCATCATCATCAGAAATAAATAAGTGTATAAAAAAATTAAATCAAAGTTTTTCAAGAAGCAATAAATTGACTTATGTTTATTTATTATTTAAAGCACAAATCTACCGCTTCAGTATATAGAATCTTAACCACATATTTAATCAGATATTGGATGACACCATAGCTTTTCATGGAATTGCATGTTATCTTACTGATCGTTGTTTACTTGTGTTTTTCATTCTCGAGATTAAAGAGTCATGATATATCCCAAACACAGATACAATCATTTACAAAAAACAATTGCTGATTGGTCGAACAGTGTCAACTGACCCCAATCATAACTTGGGGAAAAATCCCAACTTTTTTAACACCATATGCCAAGGGCCTATGACGAGAGTAGCATATCAGAAACCTCGGCCAACAAAGATGCATTATCCATATTAATACATTTAACCCAAACCAATACAAATCTAAGGCTGTTTTTTTTTTCTCTCTCTCTCTCTCTTTTTTGCCTGATTTTTGTCATTATGAAAACAAACATGCAGTGTAACAGTTCCTCCAAAAAGTTTTTGTATTGGGAACATATTCATTTTTAATCAACACTTTCAAATTTCAATCTTAATTTTACTCACATTATTTGAATCTCGAACATTTTGATAAATCTGAGAAATAGCTCTTGATACATTCCCTCCGTGATTTCTTCAGGTGTGCCTTTCTTTCGTTTTCTAACCATTAAGGACAACTGCTGTACAAATTGTGACAGCCATATCTGTAAACTTTACATGTAAAAAGAAATTAAATTACATATAAAAATGATATTAATTATGTTAACTTAATCAAAATCTTACAAAAACTAAATCAGACGAAAGAAAATATCAGATCAGGGCTCAGAATACTTGTCACAGATACAAATACACAGTTTTGTGCTTTTCCAGTAAAAATTATATACATATTTTTGTCATTTTTTTTTAATTATTCAAAACTTCAAGATTTACTTTGGCAAATATTTTTTTTTTCAATTTTTTCTATCCTAAAAAATGTTTCACTGGTATCCTCATCTTTGAGTACATTTTACCTATTACATGTGTAATCCAAATTTATAGAACCATCATGTTTACTTCCTAACAGTAACAGCTTCTCATGGTTTTCTTTTTGCTCAAGTTGCTGGAGCCCACTTTCTATTTTTATCATTTTAAATGCAGGTATTTCGTCGACAGATACGCAGTCTATACAAATAACTTCAGCTAACGCTCGAATTATACACTGGTTTCGATAAACACGCTCATTTTCATTGCGGGAAATCCGACCAATAAATCCACTAATCTTTTTATCCTGCTTTTGTTTTAAAAACGTCTTGACATAACCACTAGTAAAAAGATCGTGTGGCTCATAAGTAGCTTGGTCAACTTTTATGTTTAACTGTGATAACAATTCGCCTGTCCATTCTGTTGTTTTCCAGTGGTTTTTGTCAAGGTGTATCGGTGTCAGTACTGTCACTGAGACCCGATCTCTGTTGACTGAAACAACTGGGACCATCTTGCTCGCCATTTTTCCTACTTTCACTTTCTAAGGCGGAGACAAGCAATTACACCGTTATATGTTTTAGGCCCGAGTCATTAGCACCCATTGCTTCTGAAGTAGATCCGGTGCATCAATATTCTCTTGTTTATTTTCAATAATGCATGTTACATTATCGTATGTAAATATATTTAAATGTAATTAGGAATATTAATTTTCACATTTTGGGTCCAGAAAGCAAACATTGAGGCACAATTGTAAGAAAATACCTTATAAATACAAAAACAGCATGCTTTCATTAATATCCTCCAAATTAAAGGTGTTTGTATATACACTTTTTAAACAAATTTTGAATGTGAAATATAAATTCAACTGAGTATTTTGCAATTAAAAGTTACAATTTTTTTTAAAATACATGTGAAATTTCGACAAAACGCACTTTGCTCAAGAACACAGTTAATATATATGTTTTGTTATACCTTTTACTTTTTATTTTGACATATTTATTAAGATACAAATTTTGAACACTGCAGTTCTGTCGAATATAAATTCAACCTATATTACATGAGTATTTTGCAATCAATGTAACTTTTACAATGACAACACTTTTCTAAATATAATGATTTATGACCAAGGACCTCGTGACCTTGAAGTTTGACCTACTTTTCAAAAACTTGGCAAAAAATTTTGAATGAGATTCAAGAATTCGCTAGAGCTTTCAAATTCCACATTTAAATTACTAGTATACGGACGAGAACTTTCTAAATACGTTGATTTTTTTACCCCGTGACTTTGAACCTTCACGTTTGACCTACTTAATAAAAATGTTTTTCCCTATAAGGTTTAACTGAGAAGAGATATGGCTCATATTTGATATCGTTTCATATTTCATATTTGACATGTGCATAAACCTTTGACAAGATATTTCAGAGCAAGATAGGATTTCTGACCCCTTGACCTTCACGACTGACCTAATTTAAAAAAAAAAGATCAACTTTGTGATAACTTCTGAATCCCATATCATAGGGCGTTCATATTTGACACGAAATGTCACTAATAATGCCATATCTCACCTACAGAGACACCGAACGCGGTGGACCACAATTCTTTGAATCTGCTTAAATTGTTCCTCATTCATCTCAATATTATCTGCATCGCGTATTCATCTTTTTCCTCTTTTTTGTACTCTTTCACTTTAATTTCCTTTTCTGAATAACTAATATCAAATACTTGTATACCTCTGACCTGAATTTATTCGTTGCTTAGCTTGCCTAAAAACTAAGAAGATTATTTCGCATCACTAGAAAAGTCAGCTCACTAGCGAGCAGTATAAGTTCCATATATACTATCCGCTACACTACCCCCTGCTCAGGATAGCTTCGTCTCGAAGCTTTGCAATTTTTTTAACGTCTTAAACTAATATATAAATCGCAAACCAAATAATTCTGACAATGAAATAATTATTCTTTTTTTGCAAACCATGCGGTTAAACACGCTTAATTATAGCTAGGTGCCAGGGACGGACAATTTCGCTTCAATATAAGCATTATTCGTTATATGTGATAGGATTAAAATATATTTTAAAGCATGGGAAATGAAAATCACTACGCTCTTATATGAACGTCAATTCATTATACGTGTGTTCGCTATAAGCGTGTTTTACTGTAGCAATACCCTCATATCCCTCTCCAACTGAACTGGTAACAAAATGTACCTTAATTCTGCGCGGTGAAAGATGTGGTAGGGTTAATAATGTGGTCTTATACAATTTTTACAAGTACAAATTAAAATCCATATATATTTCGAAAATGGTATCACCTAAATCTTGAGGAGATTTGTATTTCCAAAATGTGACAGACAGACGGATAGACATGTTATATTTTTCTCTCCTTTTGATATTGTGTTATCAGATTTCTAAGAATAACATTAAGGAGTTGTAGAAAAAGACTTGATTTATAGACATTGTGACGTTTCAATGAGTTTTACTTATCATTCCTTCATCGGATCGATGGGTCTGAGAACAACCCAAGTATATAAGCGAAGTACACGATGACATCATATGTAGACAATCACGAGCACACATGGAGAAATATAGCCACACCCTAAACTGAGGTTGTTTGACAACCCATAAAAGAGCCCGAAAATCTTTTGGTTTGAATTTTAAGGTTATAATTTGAATTAAGAAGTTCTCAGTTAAAAAAAGATGGGCGCTGACACCTGGGAGAGATTAAGAAACCTTGTCTGGAATATGACATTGAATAACATCGAATCTAAAAGATGCCTAAGATTCTCTGAAGTTTATGGGGAATGGGGTGTCCTATTCTCCTTTTACATGAACCCATACCTAGTCTTCGTGCCTTTACTTGTCACTTTGGTGATATCTGTTGGGATTGTACGCGGAAAACTTTTCGGACGGACGCAGCTCTTTCTGATAGCCATCATGCTGGTGGACATGTGTTTCATCATGGTGTCCTCTGTCAGAGACGGACTACTGGTGACCTTTAAGATGGACTACGGATTCATAGAGTATCGCGTGTGCGAATTAATCATTCTTTCTTTCAGAATTCAAATGATGATGCACGGGACGGCAATTTGGTTAAAAACACTGATGACTGTAAACCAAGTCCTCATTGTGGGGTTTCCCTTCAAAGTTAAAACATTTAATTTTAAACGATTCATGGTTGTATGCATTGTCATCCATTTTACCATTGTGGTACTGTATCATTTATGGCTGCAAGGTCCAGAGTTTACAAAGATTAACATTGTACAAGAGTTTAAAGCAGGGGTCCCCATGAAAGTCATATCGGGTTGTTCATTAAAGCCAAACCTTCTTTTTAAATACGAGGTTAATCCCACGCTTTCTTCAATCATATATCTGTCCTTTGTTTGTTATTTCAATATATTACCATTTGCGATCAATTTCATTGCAGTTCTGATGCTGGTATTTCTTCTGAGAAAAAACTTAAATAAAATGTCGAATTTATCCGCAAATAAAAGCATACACACGACAAAAGTTAAGTTCATAATTCTAATAAAGGTTAATATTTTTCTAGGAATATCTTACATCTTTCAGGAAGCGCCAGTAGTTGTTATTCCTTTTTTCATGCACTTCAATTGGTTGAGACCATTTACAAATTATATTTACTATCAAGGAATGTTTATTGTATCCATAGCCATATCCTTTTCGATCGGAAAACCCATAGATCTCATTATTTATGCTAGTTTATGTTCAGTGTTTAAATCTCAGCTTAAGGACTTCTTTCAATATGTATTTGGTTTGTGTAAGGCTCGAGATAAGTAATTTAATTAACTGATCGTGAAGCGATGTATTTTTCACAAATATTTTTTTTTTTACATACGCAGTAGCATCAAGCTTATTTTATGGAGGTCGTATAAACTGAGGTCCCGTGTCACAGTAGATGCTGGCACGAATGAGATCCCTTACTGTTTAATGGCCCTAATAGTCCGAAATATCTAACTTTTTTCCACGGATATAGCGAATTTTTTAGCAAAGTTATTTTGATATATAAATTTAACGTATTCCTTATATGGATATATCGAATTATGGATTTAGCGAAGTAATTCAAATGTTATTTCGTTATAACCGATTTTACTGTATATATATACCTTGCTTTTTTTTTTACGATTTTGATATTTTACGTGTCAGGAGATATATCAAAATCGTACCAGGAATCAAATGTTATTTGAAGATTCCTGTATATATATACCGCATGCTTAAGTTTGTAAATTTTTCCTCCTATGAACACTGTTAACTGTTTAATACTAATTTCCTGTAGATAATGTATTATTATTATTACTAGTACTTTTCGATTACATGTACTAGTATTATTATTTTTGGTCGATATTGCACTTAGTTTGGATATTTGTCTAACGATATATACATGTAAATCTTTTACTATAATTCTTTTCGACATGGCGCTTTGTTTTGATAATTTAATTCTTGTACATATTGTATTCCATAGTTTGTATATAATCATGAATGGTTGTATGTAATAAATTTTTGTCGTATTTGTATTCCGAAGGTTGTACACGTATGTAGTCTATATATGTACGTGAGAAGTAACCGAGCTGAAAATAAAAAAAAAATAAAAAGGCAGGGTTATACGAAAAGTCTGAATCTATATGTATTTATAATATAGAGTTCAAATATATAAAAGCATATCCTTGGTCATAGATTTTGAACTGTACGTTGGTCCTAGGGCTTGATATTTCACATGTTTACTTCTAATGACAAGGCTTTATCCTGGGTACCACAATTTTTAACCTAGACCTTACCCTGAAGTTTGAGCCATATTGGTATTTTCAAAGGATTAATCTGGCCATGTCTTTTGAATGGTTGGTGGCTTGAGCTTTCATATTCAACACGTATGGCTATTGTGACGCGTCCTTTCTCATGAGGTACATGTAACAACATTTTTCATCTCTTGACCTTTGAGTTAAACTTGCATTTGAGAAACTTTATATCACCTTATGTTCGTATGCAAATTATTAGCACTACATCAAAACTCTCTAATCCGACACCTGTATAATCCGACACACTGTAAATTCTGACGTTAAATTTTTTTCCCATTTTGCCTTTTTCATGTTTTTTTGTAACTGTTTAATTCGACATCCTGTTTATTCCGACATAAAATTTATCTCACACTGCATGTCGGATTAGAAGGGTTCCCTGTAAGCTAATTTCTTTTAGGTGTAGCTGGCCTTTATTGATATTATTGGGATTGATTATAGAGACCTCGATTGCCAACGCATCAAGTTGGAATGTCTACCACCTTAGCTTTTTCAGCTTGAGCAAAGACTTCTTGCAAAAGAGACTGAGAATTTTGTCTATCAAATAAAGGCTGTTGATAAACTAGCCTCCATTCTTTCTTTTATAATGGGCAAAAATGTTATGGGTAATCATTAAATATATATTTTAACATACTTTATCAAAACAAAATACAGTTCTTATTTTAGTCCAGTATCACATTTCATTTAATCATTGAATGTAATTAGTTTGAACACACGTCACAAATTGTTCCTTACCGTCAGTCTAAAATTCTCTATGTTTGGTGTATACCTGAAATAGCATTAAGTCAAATCATGTTACAAAAATGATTCACAGTATATTGTCTGACCTCCCCGCGAGGCAATAACGGCCCTACAGCGCGAATCATGCTGCCCATATCAAGTATCTCAGAAGGATCTTAGGCTATTCCTCCTGTAACGCTGTCGGAAGCTCCTGGAAAGTGTTGGATGAGCTAAAATGCGTCGCTGAAGATGCCCCATGCATGTTCAGTTGGGTTCCAGTCTGAAGAAAGACTTGGCTAGTCCATATATACAATGTATCGCCTAAAGCCACGATCCGGAGTCCACATATACTTACATGTAGCTCTCAGAATGGAACAGGATTGTACATTTTTTGCCGTGGATTATGGCGATGGTCAATACGTTAAATTGTTTCTCTTTCCAAGTATGTACTAGTATTTGCCTACGATTCGGGTTCTGTGAGGTCGAGCATTATCACCCATAACGATGAAATCCTCCCCAATGTACCTGCAATAGGACTAACACACATGCAATTGACGTTACTTATTTTTCTTTTAATAAAAAAATAACTAGGTAGGGGTATATTTTTTATTAAAAGAAAAGTACTTGTGCTTCCAGCCAGTACCCTGGACCGTTCGTCCATACTCTGACATGTAGAATCTTATCACGAGTGATAACCAGACCTGCAGAAACTTTTGTATGTTCGCCGACCTTACAGTGATACTGTGTCGTATAATCCCAGATTCTTCTTACTCTTATCCCTGCAAACGCACGTCTAAATATAAAAAGCAGGGGTAAGCGTCAGTCTCGGATTATATGTCGTAGTTAGTGCAGGCACAAAACATAGGTAATCAGAGATTACAGAGCTCACCTCAACGAATGTTGTCTTTAAGTAAGGCAAATCAAGTCACACAATTAACCAACAAAAAGTGAATATCCAAAAATGCAAAATCTATGCAATTATGATTTGATACTTTGGAATAGACCTATATAAAAACTTCGAACTAGTTCTTCATCGTGAAAACGTAATTAAAATCCAGCATCTGAAGCAAGATTGAGAGTTTTCATCCCTTGATGCATCATTTGTGCAACTTTGGTTTATATAAGCCTTATAGTTTCTTGGTGATAGACCTGCACCCATAACTTTTACGAGGTCTATTATCTGGAAAATGTATGTCGAATTCAGCATCTGAAGCAAGTCCATTAGTGTGCATCCTAAGATGTATCATCCATGCAAGTTTGTTCAACATAGAGCTCAAAGTTACTTGGAAATGAAACCTGTATAAAAAACTAACCTTTTCACTAATCCGGAAAATGTAGGTCAGATTCAGCTTCTGAAGCCAGCCTAGTAGAATGCACACTTAGATGTACCATCCATGCAAGTTTGGTCATTATAGGGCTCAAAGTTACTTGGAAATGAATCCTGCACCATAAACTTTAACCTGTTTACTCAACCGGAAAATGTAGGTCAGATTCAGCATCCGAAGCAAGTCTGGTAGTATGCATCCTAAGATGTACCATCCAGGCAAGTTTAGTCATTATAGGGTTCATAGTACCTTGGAAATGAAACCTGCACCAAAAATTTTAACCTGTTCACTCAACCGGAAAATGTAGGTCAGATTCAGCATCCGAAGCAAGTCTTGTAATATGCATCCTAAGATGTACCATCCATGCAAGTTTGGTCATTATATGTCTCATAGTAACTTGGAAATGAAACCTGCACCAAAAACTTTAACCTGTTCACTCAACCGGAAAATGTAGGTCAGATTCAGCATCCGAAGCAAGTCTAGTAGAATGCATCCTAAGATGTACCATCCATGCAAGTTTGGTCATTATATGTCTCACAGAAACTTGGAAATGAAACCTGCACCAAAAACTTTAACCTGTTCACTCAACCGGAAAATGTAGGTCAGATTCAGCATCCGAAGCAAGTCTGGTAGTATGCATCCTAAGATGTACCATTCATGTAAGTTTGGTCAACATAGGGCTTATAGTTACTTGGAAATGAGACCTACACCAAAAACTGCACCAAAAATGTTAACCTGCACCAAAAACATTAACCTGGTCATTCCTTTGCTGAAATTGCAGCACAGAAACTCTGAAACTTTGATGGGTACAATGAAACACATTAGAAACATCTTCCATGCATGTCTAATCAATATAGGACATAGAAGTACTTAAAAAGAAAACTGCTCCAAAAAACTTAACCTTAACCCGGGACACCGACGCCGAGGGTATCACATAAGCTCCCCCCAACTTCGTTGAGGTGAGCTAAAAATTAACAAATTGAGCACCTTGATCTACAACATCTTCACTAGCCAATTAAGGGTTTCTGATACGCTTCTCTCTTCATAATCATGAGGAGAGTAGCGTATCAGAAACCCTTGGCTAGCGAAGATGGGTCTAAAAGTGTTTCATATGCACAGTGTTTAATTTTTTCATAATTATATATATACTAAAAGGTACCCTCATCCCTACTTCGGAGCTCAATTCTGACTATTGGTAGTATATCTACAGATTATTATATTATAAGATATTCACGTGATCTAGTCCCTGGCAGCATATTACCGATTCTCTGCAATATCCTCTTTTTCCTTTGTGTCAGCGAAATAAAGCCGTCAATGAAAAAGATATCAAGATTCCACTACCCTTAAATAGGACTACATGTAATACCCTTGACTTCACATAAAATATGACCTATATAAAATGTGATTTTGAAAAGCATAATACAAGAGCATTAACATTTATAAAGCATTTATTTCAAGAACAAATTTACATTTAAATCCACTTCAACATTCATTACATTTAAAGAAAAGAATTGTAACATCTTTTGAGAGAACAAATTTCTCCTCTTTCTTACAAACTCAGAAATGTAATGTATCAAGTTCTTATCTTTATAAAAAGAAAATTTGTATGACATAATTCTTTCACCAGTAATTTAAACAAGCCAAAATAGTCATCAATTAAGATTACAGTACATGTAAAACACCCTTATGACAAATAAGATTACATATACATGTATAGCCAATCGATGCTTATTTTGAAGTGATTTTCATTTTGAATGCTGCTATAAAGTATATTGTAAACCTGCTTCATATAATGAATTATAAATTATGCTTATACATGTAACAGCAAAGTTGTCTGTCCCTAACACTCTGTTAAAAGCATGTTTTACTATATGTCAGTTCCACAGTATGTATAGGACAGCTTAACTGATTTTAGGATAATTGTAGAAGATCATCCATATACAGGATAGTTTAGGGAGAAGAAACTAGAGTACTAGACTTTAAGATAGTTACTTAAGCAAGAGATAGTCATACTAAACAGCAATGGTGCAATTTCACAATATAACATTTTTACTTTAATAATTGCTACGAAGACTTATTTCAACAATGTCAGCAAAATACATGCCGGTACATAAATTTCTACTTTCACAGTTCTGCATATATATACCTCTATTACACGTCAGGGAATCATACAAAGACTCAGGAAATAAAACATGAAATACAATATTTGAAAAACTTCTACATTCATCAAACATAACAACAGATTCATCAATAAATAAAATGTGTACTTTGGTCCACTTGGTAAAAATCTTATTCACAGGATAGAAAAGAAAAAGAATACAAATAAATATATATGTGTGACTAAAACATTTAATGGCATTCTTTTTTGCCAAGACTTTGAAAACAAAACCCTAGAGTAACAAACACTGCTATGTTTTTGCAATATATTGCAATTCTCTTGAAATCTTTCAAAGTGGGTAACAATTGAAATAAAAATTCCTACAAATTATTTACTAGACTTAAAACTGCAAACACGACAACCCATGTTAGCACTAAACTTCCAGAAAATTAACATCATATTGTCTTAAATAGTCAAAGAATATTTTACTGAGGGTTCTTTCTACCTCATTTAACAACACCGCAGACTGTTAGGCAATTATGACTAAAGCATCATTTCAATTAGGATGTTCAACAATGATGTAAAATAAGGCCATTCCAAGTTTGTTTTCTCCATTTAGTGTCCACTTATCATTTAAAAACCAACCTAGTAAGTTATTTTAATATCTCATAAAAAGAGCTATTCTTTTAGCAAAATCAAAGTATTAATTACTTAAAATACATGTATAATTGACAAATTGTTGAAAAATATTTAGAAAAATTGTCAAAGTTAAAAAAAAATTTGACCAGAATAATTAATTTCAGAACTCCTGACCCCCTCCCCCTGATATGGGTTGTCAAAGATCAAGTTTCATGGGACACTAAACACAGAAAAAACTTGTAATGGCCTAACTTTAGCACACACACTATGGCAGATATACTACTTTTGTCACCGTTTCAGACATACAATGAACACAATGGTGTGGTACTGAAGTGGCAGTCTCCATAATCACCGCGAGCGGCCATGCCTTGAGGACCGGGACGTAGCTACTGCTTTACTGGCATCAACCTCCCATGGAAGAGAAAAATCTCTGTAAAAGAAAAATATACATCATATTTCATTACATTTGATACAATTTTTTTTAAACAAGGTCCTTTAACTTTAGATTAAAATTTCTTTAACCCCCCCCCCCAACCTTCAAAGGAAATTAAATTCTGACAGTGCCCTTTCTTAATGATAAATATGTATATATCATTATAACAGTAACTTTATCCGAAGGGTCGTATCACGTTGAATTGACAGGGGTGGATCATGAGATCAAACTCGATGCTTCACGTCTCGTTTGATCTGATAATCAATGGGAAACGATCAATGGGCAACGAGACGTGATACGACTCTTCGGATCTAGTTACTGATAAAATGATAAATTTATTATATACCCCCATACTAATCCATTAAACAAAGCATAATAACAAGGGACTTTTAACACACAAGAAAAATAATGTCATATTTCTGCGTACTACGTCATCAGTTTCAGAGAGTGGTGATATGGATTCAGAAAACCACAGTTGGTGATCCGGAAAGTCGGATCATGACGTCACGTGATAGCATAAAATCAACAGCAAAACTGAGCGATACGCATTAGGTATATAATAAATGGATTTATAAGGGTCTTTTAAAAGGATTCCACACTCAAACAAAATTGGTTATTATAATCAGGCATATTTGGAATCTTCAGTATTCATCAACAGGCTTCAAAAACAACAAAAGTCTCTGTAAAAGAAATGGGTAATATACTTACGCAGATTTTAAATTTGGCAAAGCATGTCCAAAGGCCATCACAGGTATCTTGTTACATACTTCTATATGAGTAACTGCAAAATAAAAAAACCCACACACATTACAGCACTTAATACAAAACTATAGTTTACCATGAAGCCATGGATCATTCTCATTTCTCTCTACTGAAGTACATGTACATATGATTCTTCCAGTATTTAATAATTTGTCTCTGAACAAAAATATCCTCAAATTCTTACAAAAAAAAAAAATCACTTCCATCTTTCAGTGCCAATATTGCACAAGGATTACCATGCAAAGTTCACATTTTAAAAAAAATGACAGCCTCTATGTAAATACAGTTTAACTTGATATAAATTTTGAAAACACAATTGTCTGTCCCTATTAGGACAATATTATAGATCATAAATATAAAAAAAAAATCATTTTGTGCCTGAATCATTTCCGTGACTTGATAATTTTCTTTTCATTGAAGGATTTTTGTGAGCAAATCCATTTTTATTGACAATCAATGAAATGATGGGACCCAAAAAAGAGATACAACTTGATATGCTTTCATTTGAAAAGTAATGGATTGCTAACAAAAATTAAGGGAACTGCTGATTGAAAATTGATGAAATTTGTCATTAAGGTCTTTACTTACTGTCTTCCAGTGTAGGGTAAAAGGTTTCTACATGCTGATCCTCTCCTTTTTTCAGGTTCTCTGCAGTTCTCTCTTTTTCTTTTAATTTTTCATAAATTTTCTGCTCTCTTATCCTCTGCATATCCCACCTTTTTAAATAGAAAAATTATGTATAATATTACATGGCAGAAAGTTTCAATCCTGTTTTGTAGACAACTGGTATTACAGGTAAATATATAAATGATTGACTGCTATTTAAATGGGTGAAAATAAAAAGTTAAACATACCTTTTTCTTCGTTTTTCCTCCACTTCTAATTTCTGGTGCCTCTTTACAAATACCTCATCTTCTAAATTCTGTAAAGGTGACATTTAATGATGATGAAAAATGATAATAATTTTTAGATCTACTTTGTTTTGATATCATCATAAACTGTATATCACTTTTTATTCCTGAGAACTTTATTCTATTCTTGCATATAAAAGTATTCCTTACAATTTTATAGAGGAAAACCAACAATTAGTGAAAGTTATGTCTTGTTAATAAAGAGTTAATGTCTATCTTGTGAAAATAAGGTGTCACGAAAATTTAGTGATGATGTTTTTTTTTGTTGTTTTTTTTTTTGCCAATTTTTTGTCAACTAATTGGGATCCAATTTCATTGAAACTTTGTACAGTTAAGTAGATAAGCTTTTGCTTTGATTGTTAGAATCTTTTCAAGGTCCAAATATTTTTCAGAACCATTTACAGTAAAATTTGTCTAATCCGGACTCTGAGTACTCCGGATTTTTGTCCATTCCGTCTATAAATTTTAGTCCCATGCACTTCTTTAACAAATTCATCAGAAAAAATTCTGTGTAGTCCGGATACTGTATTCCGAACGGCTATACTGGTCCCAACTGCTCATAATTAACGGTAATCATTCCCTCTAATCCGGCCACACCTGAGTTACTTCAAAGCAATTAACACCTCTCGTGGTGGATGTGATAATCCGTGTTAACATACAGCTGTAATTAGCATGATTAGTGTCCTAAGACGAACTCAATGAAATGCGGCGGTGAACAGCCCACTTGAAAATAATATCATTTGAATAAATTAATTTTAAAAAATTGTTTTAACTCCTTTTAACGCATTATAACATTATCACAAAAGATATATGTACGCGAGATACAAATCAATCTATCAATCGGGTCCAAATATTTTTCATAACACTGTGGGGGAAGACGTAATTTTTTTTTACATAAAAATTAAAAGTTCAATCCAATAATTAGCACATCGTAAATAATTGTGCATTGCTGTTTATACATTAAATGTGATCTTTGACAAGTGAAACCCGGACCGCTGGATATATTAGGTGTGCCTGTAGATTGACGTAACATTTCACCCAACTTTCAAACTTCACAAATAAATAAGGAAATTTTTATACAATAAGTCATGTGAGACTATTTTATAATTTCTAGACTCTAAAATATTGATTGATTTCATCATTTAATTATATTTATCATATGTATATTATGTAACTTGTTAATAAATAACGAAATTTTCATTGGTTTTTCAATCCGAACCGGCCAAATTTTATGGAACCGGCGGTAGCCGGTTTGGACAAATTATACTGTACTTATTAATGAGTAAGGTGAAGGGGTGCATGGATTATTTATTGAGTGGTGGAAGAAAACTTTTAAAAATTTTCTAAATCTGGAACAGCTCTCATTCTAAGAAAGATAACTCTAACAACTGACCTCTGTTCCTTCTAGCACCCACAGGCTTGGATATTTACGAGGTCTCCAGCTCGGTAATTTCACTGTAAACAGAATAGCAACATTTAACAAAGGAATTCTGTATATATCAACAGTCTGAAATTATATATACTTGAATCAGTATAACTTAAACTGTATAACTTATACATTGATACAGAAATCAAAATACATGTAGGTAACTTCATATTTATTTATTTAAGTCAGTTGAATTAAATTGAAGCACACACTTAAGATAACATAATTTTATTGGGATATATCCTTCAAATACTTCAATTCTGTATCATGATTATCCATATAATTACTACACATATTGCACAACTTACAAACACAGATTACCGTATATACTCGCCTATAAGTCGGTTTTTTGGGAGTTAAATTTTAGCCCAAAAGTCTATGTCCGACTTATAGGCGAGTCATAAAAGGATTGGCATTTTTCTGGTCGGCGAAACGTAGTATTCTATAAACATGGTTATCGTTGAATAAAGTCTGGATATATCATATCATTAGGTTTTATGTATTCTAAGATTAAACGTAAAGTATAAGTATTTATATACATATATCTAATACTTTTTTTTTATCTTAAGAATGCATTATTTCTTTTTTTATGATTTAAAGTAAAATATCAACTAAATTTTTAAAAATAATGATTGAAATCAGGTTAAAAACATTAGAACATTTATTAGAAATTGTCATCTGATTCTGACAAAAAGTTGGTCCGACTTATAGGCGGGTCAATGGCAAATCCTCGCAAAATAACCGAAAAAAATACAACCGACTTATAGGCGGACCGACTTATAGGCGAGTATATACGGTATGTTTTTTTTCATTGTTTTTTTTTTTAAAACATTGCTTTTTTTTTCCCTCTTTGCATCAAGCTAAAAACAAAAGTATAATGTAAAGAAACATTCTCCTTTATCACATGGTCATTAATTTAAATAATTAGGCCAAACAAAAAAATATCTTTGTTTACTGTTACATGCTGAAATAAAATAGGGTCGGTAGGTAGGAATTTTTTTTTATTTTATTGAATTTTTTTTTATACACAAATTCACATGAATTGGTTAAATTAAAAAACAGTTTTACCATTGTATGGTGCCTTACTTCTGTTTGGCTTGAAATATGGGTGGTTTCTTGCCAACTGCCTTACAACTCAGGAGTGTGCAATTAAAAAAAATCAAGTACTAGCCCACAGACTTGTAACAGCAATAAAGTTACTAGCCCGAAGATAAAAGTGAGCAGTCCAAATATAGGGGCAAAAAATTGTAAAAACAAATATTGTAAAAAGTTCATTGTTAAGGAAGTCAGGGTCCTAAGCCATCCCTTTTAAAGTTGAAGGTTAAAAATTTTAAGAAATTATATCTTTTTTTTCTGAACATATTGTACTAGCAGTGGAGCTTATCTAAAATGAAGCAAAATCATTTTATTTTTATTTCAAACCATTAAATACAATTGATATATATTAAAGTTTAACTTCATAACACTTAGCTTTTAGTTGATTGGGGGACCGTAAATAATGGAAAGAGATATCTGCATGTAGTTACCATTAACAGAGGAATGGAGGAAATTCGGATTAGGAAAAAATGATCGTTTTTTTTAAGTAAATAAGTCAGGTAGTACTTCAAAATGGATAAGGTTTAAGTAATTCAAGAACAGTTGGAGCATGCTGCCTGGACTTTTTTTCATTAGTTGGAAATTAAATAGCAAAACAATGAGTGAAAATACCGTTTGTATTTCTCATGTATTATATGCATAATTTTAATTTTTCTACCCCAAAAACGGTAGCACTGGGCAAAAGGTGATGCTAGTTGCACAACCCTGCAACTGCAAGGCAATGGTAAGCAAATTGCAACAAACGCGTTGGTGTAGAAATCGAACTCGTTGGTTTTGTTTTTGTACTTTCAAATTCGATTTAAAAGATGAATGTAAAAGTTAAACTGACCGGCCAGTAACTTCCGGATTTTTACGACGAAAAAAAGTTTGGGTCGGCGATTAAAATTAGGGTCGGTCGGGTAACCGTAAACAAACATATTTTTTTGTTACGCCTTACTACAAGGTATCAACTATACGATGTATGCCATTAATTTATACCTTCTAAATGGGTGTCTTCTTTCTGAACAATATCCTTCCTAAAGCTTAAATCTTCATCCAGGGGCTCATAATGAGACACATAGTAAGGTTCATTGGTTCTTAAGACATTGTCTCCTTTCTGATCTTTCAGCACAGGTAACAGCTTCTTTTTATATGGTGAGCTATTGTCTGGTGTCACTGTCCACGATTTCTGTCTTGGTGTGGGTAGGAGCACTGCCTCCTGTATCTGGGTGGTCTTTTGACGTGTAGTTTGGGTGGGAGAGGCTGCACTAGCTTCATGTAATGCCCTTCTCTTCAGTTTGGGGTAAGGCTTGGATGATGTGCTTGGCGTGTCATTTTCATCCATGGCCAACCTTTTCGAAATGTTCTCGGCTTCAACGTTGCTTTTTCTGAAAACCAAAAATTGAAACAAAATTTTAACAATTTATTTGGTTTAAGATCAAGTCGAATAGCAAGAAAAGCTGGTGCAAATCAGTAACTGTTTATAAGAGTTATCTTTCTTCCTACGTCTGTTGTTTAGAAGAGTTATCTTTCTTACTCTGTCAAATAATAAGTTTTGACATATTCCCTTTGTAAGTTGAAAAACGTTTTCTGATTGGACAACATATATAGTTTTCCTAAACAGACATGTGTCTCACATGTTGACAAGTAAACAAAAACTGCTCAGGTATAGAAATTTCATATTATTAATATTCTGTCTTGGCAGGTAAAGACAATTTCACAGCTGTCTGCACCCATTGTATAAATTGCAAAATTACAGATAACTAAATAAATTAAAAAACACTTTCACTTTCATTTTCAAAACTTCCTGTTTATACATGCATGCCAAGTCTGAATAGGATAACCATTAACCATCTCCCTTTGCCAGACTCTTCAATAAATGCAAAACATTTTGTGCAAAAGTGATGGATCTGCTTTCTCTGCCTTTTAACATATATGTTTCAAATATATTTTAAGAGGCCCACCTTTTAAGCCCCCTCTCAGCAGGGGTGGGGTTTTCTGTGTCAGTCTTGTTCCTGTTGGCTGGACTTCTAGGAGAGGTTCCCATGACAAAATCTGAGTCTTCTTTCTGTTTCAGCAAGGCCATCCTCCTCTCCATTCTCTCTAGGCGACATTTCAACTAAAAATAGATCACAAAGATGGTGTACAAAGTTTCTGTTACAGAAATTGAGAAAATCAGATTTAGATTTCAAATACTTTCCTAATTATTTTCATTCAAGTTGAAACATTTTTGTTATAATCTATAATGGAGTTTATCATTTGTCGGTACTATAAAATTTTTAATGAGACATTGATCCTTTGACTTCTTTTTTAACAAATCATATATTTCCTACAGGCCTCATCCAAGTCCCTCATTCGATATTACACAGCCTATATTTAGAAAGGGGGTATTTTACTGCTAAGACACCAAATAGCACGACGGTAAATAAACATCTTTGTTGTATTTATTTACAGTGTACTTCACGCACCTGTCGAATTTTCATAGATAAATCGTCAAATATATATCTGCCTTAACATGTTAAACACAACTTCGCTCTGACACTCGTTTTGATTTAATCTTTATACAATATTCCGACTTTTAGCACAACAACATTCGTTTTCTTTGTGATAGGTAAAACCTCAAGCACGAGATATATCGATCATCAGCTAGGACAACGGCCACATAATACGGTACACGACAGCACACGTTATATTCCGCCATGAAATATGTAGCCATTATGGCGTAAAATACAGTGGGCCTATTGCATCAATTATCAAACATTCTTACGCATTCAAAATTGCTAATTTTTCTATTGGAAGTAAAAATCAATTATCAAATGTCATTTCTCAATCAATTTCTAACCAAACAATTTATGCAAGATGCGCAAATTTAAGTCTTAATTTCGATTTTGGACTCGTCTGCCATCTTGGAAAAACTTACCCCGTTATTACTATTCAACGCTGGGCGTTTACAAGATCTGAAGAAGTTCCTAACGGAAACCGAAAACTTATTTGGCACAAGGACATCCGTCATTTTTCTGATTCTCCCGAAGAATCCTCTACTCATACCACCAGAGGCGATAGAGTGGTGGGAATTTGAAAATAGACGCCAAACGGTTGGCTGATCCGCTTGATAACAAAGACGTGCGTGTTTCGATCACATGATCAATCACGTGATGAAAACAAAAAATAATAGTACAAAATCTGACTTTTAGGCCTAATACTTTTTACAATAAATATAACATATTTTATTTGCATTCAACTAATGTGTGCGTTTCAGCTGATATACAATATTCCGAGATATATACCACGTTTGACATAGAAAATCAAATAATGTTACGGAATAATTAGAAAAGGGGAGGTTTCAAAAGTTGAAAATAACTACTAAGATTCATTCATATTAATCCTTTTGAAAGCAAGTGTGGCACAATGTAAAAAAAATGTTTTTATAGAGACAATTAAAGCTTGGAACAACGTATAGAATGTTTTTTTTATTGAGACAAAGCTTAAAAAAAATAAATTCTTTGTTTGATTAATCAAGTTAATATATTCAAAATGTTATTTTTAAAAATTTTGAGTATACATAATAATATTAATTCTAAAAAATACTTACAATTTTTTAGTTATTATAATAAAAAAAAAAAAAAAAAAGTGGAATCCAAAATTTAAGGATTTAAATAAATACATTAATTAAATGTAATATTCAATTCAATTTAATTCGTTTATTGACCAATTAAGGGCCCTCATGGGGCAATATGTTTTACAATTATTTCAATATATCCAAAACTTATATATTTTTAAACTTTCCAAGTTCATCTGAAACACAGGTACTTGTGGACAGGACCCCCCAACCCCAGGGCTTGTTGGTCATTTTCTCATTAAAATATTGACCAATGCGAGTAAAGCATAGTCGGATAATGAACTTCACCTTTCAATATACCCAATAGCAGTATACAAAATACTGTTGATTTCGATTGCAATGGAAACAAAACTTGTCATTGATTGAATATGAAGTCACAATAGAGGCCTAAATATTCAAGATTGCGACACTTTTTGTGATCAAGCAGCCACAGGTAGGAGAGAGCTATATGTGGTCTCCATACCATGGCAGCATTGAGATGCTGAACTAATCACCATGATCACAGCTCCCTGTATATGAGATGGGGCCACAAAAGGTGACTACAATTTAACATTTAGGAATTAATATTTATTTAAAAATCTTCATACAGCAGGGTGAAATTGACTCAGGTAACCATTGTGGCCCATCGGTTTCTTGTTTTATAATCGATGCATGCACAGCTCTAAATCTGTAAATCTGAGAACTCTATACACATGTAAAATGAACCTTCACTTTCCCTGAAAATGTTGTATATCTGAAATATTTATCTAAACTGTAAAACCCTTTCTAATCTATATTCAGACAGTGGTCTTAGACCCGAACATATATATGCATCTTTGCTAGCCAAGGGTTTCCGATTCAAATCTAGAGTAGATTTTGGATCGGAAACCTAGCGAAGATGAAGTACATGTATATGTATCTTATTTAAAGATGCGTTCAAATGTGCAATTCAAAAACAATAAAACTGAAAAATGATGTGGGGATGTGCTCTGTTTTCAGGTAACTAATGCAAGTCCGATCACTTTGTGCTGCCAAAACAAGTACAGAATTCATTGTCATTGTACACAGAAAAACAAACCCAATGAAACAAATATGAAAAATACCGTGTTGTTTTCCGTTTTGAGGGCGCGGATCTCCTTGTCCCTCTCTGTCAACACTTCCTGCTGGTGTTGTACAAGGTCCAGATTGATCATCAGCAAGTCTTTCATGTGTGCACAGCTTTGCATGACGCACTCTGACCCATCATTGAACTTGGTTGACATGGGGCTCAGCATGCTCAGGTCCTCTTCTTCGTCGCTGGGGATTGTTATAACGTCCTGTTCCCTTGCCTTGGCCTCGCGCTCTGCCTGCCTAGCATACCTCAGACTCTCCTGGACAGCGAGGGCTAGATCTGTCTCAAAGCCTCCCGTCTCGGAGTAAGACACTTTGGCAGCGCGCCTTCTTGGGAGAGATGAACGTCCCTCGTTACGACTTCTTGAGTCGGTAGAACTGTCAGGTCTAGATTTACCTCCAGTCATCCTTTACTGGTGCTTATGTCTTTTCTTTATCGAGTAAAATACTACGCTTTGTTTTGTTTTTGTTTACCGGAAAATGGAGCAGAGTCCTTTGTTACCTCCTTCGAAAAAGAGTTCATTCATTGTAACCGGTGTCAAATTGATTCGTTCACCGTTGATGTTGCACCTATTTAAATGTGTACAAAACACTGTATATAACTGAATTATAAAAAAAGTTACATAATATTTTTTTCAGATGTATCGTTTTTTGAAAGTTCCCCCTTTTATTTGGACAGAAAAGAAATGAAGAAAAAAAGGCCCATGGGTCGATATGGTCACCTGACAAGAAACTTCTGAGTCACTTCACAAAGTTTTTCAACAACTTTTATCCCTCATAATCGAAAATTCAGGGTTTTATAGTTTTTGCCATGCCTGTCTGTCTATCTGAATTGTCTACAAAACTTTAACATTTCCCCATTTACTCAATTTAACTGGGTGGGGCTAATTGGCTTTCATAATATTTCACAGGAGATCAAGACCTTTCTTTGGGTACCACCAAATTTGACCTTTTAACCTTGGAGTTTAATCACTTTTACAAAAAATAACAAATTTGAACCTTGCCCATATGATCAAGGTAAAAGTTTGTTTTGCTGTTTTGGGAATAATTACTTTTGAACACTTGGTGCTAAGGCTTTCATGCTTCACGTTGGTATGGACTATGTACAAATATTTTTGACCTCCTGACCTTGACCTAAGAGTTTGACCCACTTTGTAAAAAAAACTTACTTTTGCCATTACTTTTTGAACACTTAGTTTAGTAAGGACTTTCAATTATTTCACAGGTGATGAGAAATTCTTCTTGATACCAATAATTTTGATCTTGAATGTTGACTTGCATTTGAGAAACTTTAATTTTGTAATAAGCTGCCATATGGGGGCATCAGTGTTTCACAAACACTCTGTTCAATTTATTACCATGATTAATTTTCTAGCAATCACAACATGCACAAGGCTATATTATGCCGTACTTAAAAATTTATACATGTATAGCAATTGATTTTCAGCAGAAAGTTACAATTTTTATGACCATGTAATTATTAATATTCAGGTGGGAGGGGGGTTATATAGTTTTTGCCCTGTCTATCCTTCTGTCTAGCTCTTTTAAAAACTGTATGTATGTCCAAAATACTTCAATACTTCTAACTTTTAATGGAGTAGAGACTTTTAAAATATATCTAACATGTGTATTCCTTGTAAAAAGACATTTCTTTGGGAATGAAATTATTTCAACTCTTGACCTTGGAGTCTGACCCAATTGTGCAAAAAATTATAAAATTTCAACCCATGTCATGACTTTTGTACATGTACAGCTAGTATTATGGCTTTCATACTTCACACATATACTGTATTAATTGTGACAGGACCTATTTCCTTGAATATAAATATTTGACCTTGACCTTACAGTTTGACTCAATTTTTAAATAACTTTAACCTTGGCTTTGAATTTTGAACCAGTTAGTATTAGGGTTTTCATAAGTTTAGTCCTTGTAACAAGACCTTCCTTTGAATACCAAAACTTTTTATGCCCATGTAATTAAAGATTTGGGGTATATAGTTTTTGCCCTGTCCATCCATCAATCTGTCCTCAAAAACTTAAAACCTTGTCCATAACTTTTGAGTTAGTGGGGCTATGGCTTTCATATTTCAAAAGTGTATTCCTTGTAACAAGATCCACCTTTCATTTGGTACCACCAAATTTGACCTCATAACCTTTGAGTTTGACCCACTTTAATAAAAAAAAATCTGAACTTTAACCATAACCATGGCATAAAAATTTTTGTTGTATTACCTTCAATTTGCATGCAGATCATAACTATGATAAGTAGCCAAAAGAAAAATAAATCATGTTGATTTAATTACTAGTTATACACAGAAATACATCCTTACAATACTAGTAGCTTCTGTCTCACTGTTGGCTTAATCACAGACAATACTGACAACTTTTCTTTTTATCTAATGACAGATGTACAGATTCCAAGCACTGATTCCATCAGTGTTACACAAACACATCTTTTTTTTAACTTGACCTCTAAGAGCTTAAATTGATCTACCTTTAAAGAAACTTCAACCTTGGCCATAACTTTTGAGCAGCTGGTGTTGAATCTGGCTTTTATATATATATTTATTTCATATATGTTTAATAATGTATATTTATTTACAGTGACAAGTCCTTTCCCATGGTATCATTAATTTTCACCATGACTCACTTTTAAAAAAAAACTTTGGAAATTTCATAAAACAGTCTATAAAACAGAGAAATCATGAAATTCCTTTTCATACATATAACATATTTATTTTTTTTTAGAAGATTGCACGTCTCTGTACTGAAATATCTTCAGATGATTATCAGCAGCACCGGACAGTAACATGCTGGGGACTGACCAATCAACTGCCAGGATTTTCTCTTCATGGCCACTCATGTTATACAATGGAGAATTTGGGCTGTGAAGATTAAAAGAAAGTAATCTGATATGTATATATGAAGTAGGATGGGAAGAAAGAATGAATAATCCATTATTTCAATCTTCTCTGTCTTAATATAAAAGAGATCAATGTAAAGAAATACTATATCAACGGCTATCAATGTAATGCAAAAGTAGTTAAAACATCGCTGAAAATTTTTAGGTCTAAAGGTCATAAGATACATGTACACAAAATCTAAAAAGATGCAAGCATTTCATTGATCCTTTTTTTGTCATTTCAGCTTACATTACCATAAATATTATTTCTTTTGAGGATTGATTTTTAATACGGTTTTAAAAGTATAGATTTGGATAAAGAAAAAAATGCAGATTTGATAAAGAATTTTCAGATAAAAATGTAACAGTATTAAGCACAAGTAAATTCCACACAAAATATATAACAGATTTAAATAATATACTTTTTTTGAGTATCCATGCCCTTAAAAAGTAAACAAGAGCTCCAGCTCAGAGAGATGGACAAGGATAAACCCATACAGACAGACACACACACACACACAACATACCTTCTTATGTCCCATAGTTTCAAAACACAGTCGTAGGAGCCTGAGATGAAGAGATACTGGTTCACTGGGGACCAGCTAACACCGGAAACCCATCCATTGTGCGAGGTATAGGTACACCTTACAATTCTGCCATCTAAGAAAGATAATTAACATCAAAATGAAACTGAAATTAACAGTGTTGTTACGAAAGTCACAGAGTATTGAAAAATCAACCAGAGGACAGCACATCGTCGACAATTGACAGAAAATTTTAAAATCAATAGTCAATGTTTTTTTTTACAATTTATTTTTCAAACGATTACGTTACCTGATACTCGAGGATCCCATAGCCTAATGTGTCTGTCTACTGAAGCAGTAAGAATATGTCTGTTTAAAGGGGAGTAGGACAGATCTAAAAAGACTTTCTTCCCTTGCTACAAAGATAAAATAGCACATTGTTATTGAAACACATGACAATGATGTACAAGAACATTTTCTGAATTAGATTCCTGCGATTATTTTTTTCTCATGGTTAATTTTAAAACAGTGAATTAATGTGTGGTCCACGGATATGAATACTGACATATCTTTAATTTCATGTTTAATATTTTGAATTCCACTTGTACACACTGAATGTTTTTATATGCCTTCCGTATTATCCAAGGTAACAAAGTAAAGACAGATAAATATAGTATCTCACATGATTTGTAGTTGGATATGATTTTTATTCAACGAGTTGTGTGTTTTATATCCCCGAGTTGGATAAAAATCATATATCAAACAACAATTCATGTGAGATTCTTTTTATCCCATGTTTTATACACCATAATCAATGTTTAACACTGTTTTTTATATAGGACTCCATTTCATTTTACTTCATCACTCAAAACCAATTGTGACAACTATGGGATATGAAAACGATATCATATGAGCTATATCAATAGGATAAAGGGTTAAACATGTGATAAAAATAAATGATAAAATCTCAGTTCTTTGTCTGTTCCAGTTCATTCTGTATTATATTATTACCAACAGTGAGGTTTGTGTTGCTTTTTCCATGTCCCATATCCTCAGTGTGTGATCCCATGATGCAGTGCAAACTTCTGACCTACTTATCCACTCGGCTGCAGAGATTCCTTCTTTGTGACCAGATAAAGTCAGAATGGGCACCTGCAAATCATATTTAATGTGCTGAAATTATTAAAGAATCTTGCAGGAGAATATTCTACATTCTGGATAAATACTTTCTTTATGCCCAGTATTTCTAAATTAAGACTTTTCCTCATCTTCACAAACCTCCCCAATCAGAACCTTGAAGCCTTTTTGACTTGACACATAAAAAATATTTTAATGACATATTTCTACAATAAATTCATCATAAAAATTTAGTAAATGAAATTATTATTTCATTCCTATGGAAAATTTCATGACCTGGAACTGGAGATTTATTTAAATTGTAGATTTCTCTGACTTACCCTAGTTTGGGCTGAGAATTTATCTGATTATGCTTTATTTAGATTGAGGATTGATCTGTCTCATCATTATAATATATGGACAGATTTTGTTTTTTGGCTACCCTTGTTTGGACTAGTTATCTGACTTACCCTTGTTTGGACTTTTTTGGAGAGACTTACCCTTGTTTGGACTTTTTTGGAGAGACTTACCCTTGTTTGGACTTTTTTGGACAGATTTTGTTTTTTGGCTGCCTTTGTTTGGACTAGTTATCTGACTTACCCTTGTTTGGACTTTTTGCTTCAGTAATGTATTACAAAATATTGACTGTTAAAGAGTTACTTAAAAAGACTTTTAGCCCTTGGCCCCTTTTGGACTTTTTTTTCATCTTGGAGAGACTTACCCTTGTTTGGACTTTTTTGGAGAGACTTGCCCTTGTTTGGACTTTTTTGGACAGATTTTGTTTTTTGGCTGCCCTTGTTTGGACTAGTTATCTGACTTACCCTTGTTTGGACTTTTTGGAGAGACTTACTCCCTTGTTTGGACTTTTTTGGAGAGACTTACCCTCTTGTTTGGACTTTTTTGGACAGATTTTGTTTTTTGGCTGCCTTTGTTTGGACTAGTTATCTGACTTACCCTTGTTTGGACTTTTTTGGAGAGACTTACCCTTGTTTGGACTTTTTTGGAGAGACTTACCCTTGTTTGGACTTTTTTGGAGAGACTTACCCTGGTTTGGACTTTTTTGGACAGCTTTTGTTTTTTGGCTGCCTTTGTTTGGATTGAGGATCAGACTTACCCTGGTTTGGACTTTTTTGGACAGCTTTTGTTTTTTGGCTGCACTTTTTTCTTCCTTTTCCTCCTCCTCTTTGTCTCCCTCTGCCACTGGTGCTACATGAGAAAAAATAGGCAATAATGAATTAATATTGATTTTCATCAAGAACAATAGCATCATTTTCAAATGAAAATACTATGAGGTCTGAACTGCTGCTTATTTATTTCAGAACGATTTTTATATCAGATAATAATATTTAATATTATGGAGAAATATGAGCACAGAGAATAGAAGTCAGAAAATTGAAAAAAAAATGAGATCAGAAAACTTAATGATGGATTGCAATAAGTCTGAATATTCTCAAGATATTGTGGGGCAATATTTTCATATCTCCAGTTTGACCCATGACTTTTGACCTTGTGACTATAAAACTACATAGGTCACCTACTTCTCAGTAAGAACCAATGAACCAAGTTTTGATAACTGTCTACCCTGTCTCAAAATCCTGTACAGTGAACATGAAATGAATCAACATAAAAATGAATGTATTGAATAATGTGGTTTACCTGCAGACCAGAGTTTTAACATGTTGTCCCATGATCCACTGACAAACTGAAAATAAAAGTCAACAATTTAAACATGCCGACTTTAAAGATTTTTTATTATATACAATTGCTAACTTACATATTAAGTGAACATCTGTACAAATTATCTCCTTATAGTGAGCATTCACAAGTATAAAAACAGGAAATGAAGAATGAATTCATGCAATTTTTAACAAATTTACACATGTACAGGGAAAAAAATCTCAAAGCTGGCTGGATAAATTCATTGAATTTACATCAGAAATGAAAACATTACGTACAGTCAATCTAAGAATTTTTTAAAATCACAAATACATGTTTAATCAATTCTAGATCTTACTTTATCTTTGTCTTTGTTGACAGCTACACAATCTACACTGCGAGCGTGACCTCGACATGCATGGACACACTCCACTGAATTTTCCTCTTTATTCCACTCCCAGATAAGTAAAGTCTGATCATGTGAGCCTGAGATGAATCGGCAGGTAGGTCCCTCATCTGAAAAACAAATATACAGTTGAACTTCATTATCTTGAAAAACTGACATCTCACAAAATACCTAACTTTCATGTGAACTGAGATGTATGACCATCCTCCATTTAACCACGTGACACATTTGACTGGAGCAGTATTTATTGACTTAACCATGTGACACACTTGACTAGAGCTGTATGACCTACCTCCACTTAAAGGTCACACTTGACTAAATCAGTATGACCTACATGTACCTCCACTTAACCATGTGACACACTTCAATGGAGCAGTATGTCCTACCTCCACTTTACCATGTGTCAAACTTGACTGGAGCAGTATGACCTACCTCCACTTAACCTTGTGACACATTTAACTGGAGCAGTATGACCTACTTCCACTGAACCATGTGACACAATTGACTGGAGCAGTATGACCTACTGTAAACCAACTTTTATTTTCAAAGACTTTATTTCGTGATTTGCTAGGGGTAAACTAGTTTGCGACGATTAATTTTCATGATCAAGCCTATTTTGGATCTTTTGTAAATAGACACATAGACTTTAAGGACCGTTCACAGCGAGAAATATTCGCAATGATGAGGCTCTCGCGAATCTTGCGAAAATTTCTCGCACTTGAATAAAAGTTGGTTAAAAGTACCTCTACTTAACCATGTGCTAAAATTGACTGAAGCAGTATGATGTACCTCCACTTAACCATGTGTCATGCTTGACTGAAGCAGTATGATCTATTTCCACTCAACCATGTGACACACTTGACTGGAGCAGTTAACCTACCTCCACTTAACCATGTCACACACTTGACTGGAGTAGTGTGACCTTCCTCCACTTAAACATGTGAAACACACCACTGGAGCAGTATGACCTACCTCCACTTTACTATGTGACACACTTGACTGGAGTAGTATGACCTACCTCCACTTAACCATGCGACACACTTGACTGGAGCTGTAATGACCTACCTGCACTTAACCATGGGACACACTTGACTGGAGCAGTACCATAAATCTGGAAATTTTTGCTGTAGATAAATTTTTAGCAAATTTGCGAGTTCATTGCATTCGCAAAAATATTTATCTTAAAAATAAATTACCAATAAGAAAATGTAAACAAATCAGTGGTCATTCGCAAAATTTTGAAATGTAAAAATTAATCAACAACATTTTGACCCTATTTCGCAAAGTAAAATCGAAGTAAAAATTTCCAGATTTACAGTATGATCTACCTGCACTTAACCATGTGACACACTTGACTGGAGCAGTGTGACCTACCTGCACTTAACCATGTGACACACTTGACTGGAGCAGTGACCTACCTGTACTTAACCATGTGACACACTTGACTGGAGCAGTATGACCAGGTATTGTCAGGACAGGAGCACCTGTTGTGGACCATAATCTGACTGTATTGTCATAGCAACCAGACAGTATGCTGAAAAATAAAGAATAGAACAATTCATCTATTATCTTGTTAATATATCAAGCTTAATGTTTCAACATCCTTTGAATCCCCCCTCTAAAGCATGCAGGTAGTTTTTGACACAGATTATGCAGCATACTTAGAAAGGCCTAACTGGAGCATAAATTCTAAACCGAAGTCACTGAAATGTTTGATTAACCCCATTCTGAGTTAGTTATTAAAGCTTTTAAAAGCCTAACTGGAGCATAAATTCTAAACTGAAGTCACTGAAATGTTTGATTAACCCCATTCTGAGTTAGTTATTAAAGATTTTAAAAGCCTAACTGGAGCATAAATTCTAAACTGAAGTCATTGAAATGTTTGGATTATCCCCATTCTGAGGTAGTCATGTTCTGCTTGTTCTGTGTACTGACCACCCTTGACATCCCTGTAAACAGCTGACCCAGTTTCATGGAAGAGAATCCTTACAGGTTGTATCTGATATTTCTAATTTAATCTGTTCTTCCTGAAATTAAAACAAGAGGCCCATGGGCCTTATAGGTCACCTGAGCATTATGCAACAACTTTCCAGTGACTGAATTATTTTTTTTAAGCCAGATGCTATAGCATTCACAATTTTGAAAGAGGCACCATTTTCATTATAACAATACATTTAAGTTGCTTAGTTTGGTTACTTAATACCCAAAGGCAGGGTAGGGGAGCAAAAAATGCATGTCAACTAATCAGTAGTGCCCCTTTCACACATGAACCCCTGACCCTTAGGCCTAGATCCACAAATTGCACAATTTTTAAACAGGCATCCTTGCTTTTCAAAAATATTTGATTAATACCAAGGAGCAGATTTCAAACAATTCATGCATTTTCACTATGTAAGTTGTAAGTACACTTGACCCCTACCTCCACCTAACCATGTGACACACTTGGCCTTGAAATTCACAATTTGGAAGATTGGACCCTTGTTGATCACCAACTATATAGGTTTATTCACCTGTGTTGTTAAGGAGCAGAAAGGAAAATTTTCAAAGAATTCATGAATTTTCACTATAATAATTAATATCAATAGAACCCCCACCAAACACCAGAAACCCGACCCTGGGGCCCTAAAATTCACAAATTTGGAAGAGGCATTCTTGTTCATCATTTCTATATACTTACTTAGTTTATTTAATACCTAGGAGCAGAGAAGAAGACTATCAAAGAATTCATGTATTTCTCTATATAATCAGATTATGCCCCAGCCCTAACACCAAACCCCTGACCCTGGGGCCATAAAATTCACAATTTTGGTAGAGGCACCCTTGCTCATCATAACTATGAAATTACTTAGTTTATTTAATACCTAGGAGCAGAGAAGAAGATTTTCAAAGAATTCATTAAAGCTATTTTATAAAGCCCCGCTCAAACACCAGAACCCCTGAGGGGCATAAAATTCAAATTTTGGTACCCTTGATAATAACTATGCACTTAGTTTATTTATTTAATACCTAGGAGCAGAGAAGAAGATTTTCAAAGAATTCATGTATTTTCAATATATACATGTAATCTATAGAGCCCCACCCTAACACCAGAACCCCTGACCCTGGGGCCATTAAATTCACAATTTTGGTAGAGGCACTCTTGCTCATTATAACTATGCATTTAGTTGGTTTATTTAATACCCTGGAGCAGAGAAGAAGATTTTCAAAGAAATAATGCATTTTTACTATATATCTCATTTAACCCCGCCCTAGCATTAGAACAAAGACCCCAGGGAAATTTCAAATTTTGGTAGAGAAAATGCTGATTACAATCATGCTAACAGTTTGACTGCTTGATGTCCAGGAGTAAAGAAGAAGATTTTCAAAGATTGCAGTAATTTTAGTGGTTTTGGCTCCACCCCTCAGGCCCCAGGGGGGCAGGGATCATGAAATTCACTTTTTTTGTCCCCCTTCACCCATATATGTTTTGTGCCAAATTTGGTTGAAATTGGTTCAGTGGTTGCAGAGAAGAAGCTGAAAATGTTCAAATGTTAACTCAACGCAAACTAAAGACAGACGCACGACGACGGACAAAACAGATAGCAATAGGTCACCTGAGTTTACTCAGGTGACCTAAAAAAAGACAATGAAATTGTAAAAAATTTTTTTTTTTTGAAGACGATGCCAACAACAATGAGGAACAACATGTAAATGGAAAAATATTGATCAGAAAAATTCACTTGAGCCTTTGGCTGAGGTTATATATACATAAATCAATTCTATTGGGACTAAATGACTTACTGAAGAAACTCCTCTATTCTCTAGATGTTCGTCAAGAGGTTCTCTAAGGAATTCCCCATCCAACAGGAAATCAAAATCAACAGCTGTCTCCACAGAGTCATCACTGTCTGCTCGTAAAACAAGAGGAATATGACTTCTTACATTGTAGTATCATTTAAATATACATGTACCATTATCCTGAAGTTGTCTTGCACTATCATCAAGTCTTTTAACTTTCACACAAAAAAAGAAACACTTCGCCTTTCAAATTTACAAATTTAGCAAATAAATACTTTACCTTTTAAGATTTGGTTGATGAGTCCACTGAGCTCTGAAGTACCTACAGTAGCTGGTACTGAGTACGGGGTATCAGGAACCGAGTATCTAGTTCATTAAGAAATAAACAGCCTTAATCGATAAACATGGTGTTATGAATAGCAATTGCTCTACTGGCATATTTTCCATGATCCACTCTATCTGATGTGATCATTCTGATGTTTTTCTGGCATGCTAAATACCACAGTCATGAGAAATGTCTGGAAAATGTCAAATATTTTGGACTACTGTAATCATAGCTGCAGATCTGTTGCTCTCTGGTCTGAAAAAAATCTTTGGGACATATGACCAGAGAGCTACAGTACCACCCATTGAAGAAAGTGAGTGATGAAAAGAGACTATGTTTTTTTAGACCCATCTGATACATAGTTGCCAACTCACCCGATTTTCGTCAGACTACACCCGATTTTTCAACCTGTAACCCAATTATTTTTTATGACCCGTGGGGTCATGCTTTTCACCCGATTTTTGCCAAACAACCCAAAAATCTCCAGATTTTCGGATTTGGTTCATAAATTAGGTTGCACTTTTAACTTCCAGTTACAACCCAAGCTTAGATCTACATAAACGATGCCGATGGATTAATTATCAGTGCAGGTGTAAACAATTATCTGGGTGTTGATTTGACAAATCATTGTTTGAAGTCAATTTAAAATGGCTTCTGATAGAACTAGATCGTTATCAGGACCAGCAGGAACAAACTGAATCAGAGACATGTTACTAAATAAACCAAGGAAAAGAGAAACGATATTTATGTGCATATCAACAAGGAATCTAGGAAAACAACTTTTATTAGATAAAATAAAGTGATCGAAGACAGTATAGCCCTAACTGCATATTTAATACACATTGCACTAGTTAATCATGTTAATTATGAAAGAGGAAATATTACTTCAAAGCCAAAATTGGAATACTTTCAAATTTAGCAGATACTGGAATTGCTTTAAAAAAGGCACACCTGGCTGATTCAGGTCAATACTGATATATGAAACCTTCAATGCTCTCTTTTAACATGAAAATTTATAATCAAATTATATCCAGATTTTTACATGCTGCAAGTATGATCTGACAGTGTTTTTTATCTATACCTTTTTCACTAATTTGGCAAAGAAATAAATCTTGTCTAAAAAAGAAAGCAAATGTGCACATCTTAAAGATTTTAACGACTATATATACATTCTTACTGTGATTGTTTTGTAAAAAACTTGGCTTGCACGTGTGGTATGTTTTCGTCCGACATAGTGACAACTCTGCCTCCTCACAGAAAAGAGTTCTGTCAAGAACAGTAACTCTTCTTTCGACGTGATTATGGAAGCCCGATATAATTATTCACGAATACACTTTGTCTGAATCTTTTAATTCGTTTAAATAATTTAATCTTTTATAATGAATTTGTTGAATTATAATACTTTTATACTGTTTCTATCAGAAGGCAATAAACCAAATACATTTCTTTAGAAAAAAAATTATAAACTTTCTACGACGTTCACCCCCACCTTCTTTCAGCAGTCATCCAAGGTTATTAAGGTAGGTCCAAGATGCCTTCAAATGACAAAGTTTATGATTTAGAATATGCTTGAGATCATAAATATAGCCATAAATTTTAAAAACCAGGTCACTGTGACTTAATTTTCATACAACATGTCTTGGAGTACAATCTTCTAAAAATACAACTGGCCAAAATTCAACATAAACTGAAGTGTGACATCAATTTTGATTTAGATTCTAGGTCAAATTAATGTTAAAACTTTTGAAAATCAAAAATATTCATTTGCCAAAAATCATTTGAAATCTTTATTGGAAACACCATGATACTTGATTCTGTCAAAATCTTTCACTCTCCTTAAAATATCTTTATTTTTAATATTTCTCAAAATCTTATATGTTTAAATGCTATTTTTTCTTTACCATTATTGATAATTATATCTTAGGTTAGCAAAAACACATACTTTATTATGGTTGACCAGAAAAATTTTACAAAACAGCCTTTTGAACATCTATACCCCCATTTTTGGAATATCTATTTTTTCAATCGTTCTTAGCAAAATTTATATAAAAGTAAATTTAAAAAGATGATATAGGCTTAGAATTAAAAATAAAATAGATCTCAAGTTAGTTTGATTAAAAAAATTTAAAAGCTTTAGGTCATAAAGACCAATTAAGGATTCTCTGTCTTGTATATAGATCCTATGGAAAGATGCAAAGTGGTTATTCCTAAAAATAACTAATTAAATGATTTGTGTGCACAATGACACTATAATAAACAAATATATACTTGCTAAATTGTTTTCAATCATCCAATAAATTTTATTTGTATAGACAAACATAAGAAAAATTTTATATTGGTGTATAAAATTAAAACTGGATCCGTAAAAGTGTGGACTTGCCTTAATCTAATTTAATGTTTACTTTAAATCTAGTTATTGTGAAAATTTGAGAAAAAAATGCGACAATGTTACTTACAGATCGATTTAAAAGTTTTTATTTTCAAGACTTTTGATAAATGATAGTTTGTTTGTATATCATCTATCCTTAATTTAATACCATATCTTAATTTTTTCTTCTTTATAAAAAAAAATCTTATGTAAAAAGAATCAGACTACGAAAAGTTTATATAGATCATAGGCCTTAAAGTGTCCAAAATATGCCTTGGGCAAAACATATAACATATATAACACAATGTACATATAAACATAATAATTTAAAAAGTAGGTGAAGAGACTTTTTTTAAGTTAAGATAAGATGATAATTTTATTTCCAGTTTTAAGATGCAAAGGTTTCAACATAACAAGATTTGATGATTATAGTAAACATATACAAACAAAACACACATACACACACATTTAAATATTAATTGTAAATTTAGGTAACTGGACATGTAGACTTGAGCAGTTGGGGTTATCAAATTGTTAATTGCCATCAAAATGCAAATTTTAATATCTTTATAACAAATATCTGATTTATTTATGAAAACTCGTTTGGTGAAAATTTTGAAGGCTTCTGAGAAGAAGGTTTTTGTAATAATTAGATTACTTTTGGTTTTAACCAGAGAAATTTGTCCCCTTTTGATAAGGGTATGAAATTTTTGTGCAAATGGTATCCCTTGGAAAAAAGGATCTCTCTGTGACAAATAATGGCATTCTGAAAATGGTATTCATCCAATTGTTTTGGTTACACATTAAACATATTCTTTTGTTTATCACAGGGGACACCAGCACAAATTTTTACAGATAGCATATCTTTTTTCAATTTTAGGTCAGAACTTAGCTAAAAAAGCAAATGTGTTTCATGCTTAAAGATTTTAATGTACATAAGCTGTATTTTTTGTAAAAAACTTCTTTAAACATAAAATGTAGGTTTTCCAGATTTTTCACGTTTCATTTTCCAATATTGTAGGACAAATGTTTCTTAACTTGTTTTTTTAAAAATGTGTATTTTGTTTTACAAGAAAATGAGACTCTAATTTTCTTACTATAATAAATTACATTTTTGTATAAAATCACAGGGGCTTGTGTAGTTAAAATTTTCTTATATGCTTTAGTAACAGAAAAAACAGCAGTCCTTGTTAATCTATTTTAATTTTTTGTTACTTTAAATCTAGTTATAGTTAAAAAAAATCATGTAAAATGAACTCAGGGACCTTTATGTTAAGTTATAGTATGTAGGTCCCTGATGAACTACGTAGTCAGAAATACGATATAAGCCCACTTTGCATTTGCTAAAATGAAAAAGTTCAGAGTGTAACATAATATTTAAATATTAAATGTGTGACAGTGATCAAAAAGAGTTTTTTTGATTGTCATTGAAAACTTTTAGCTTGATAATTTGCATAGGCATATTCTTTAAGTGCTTTATAATATAGATTCACATCTTCTTATAAGGATAAACAGAGGTTAAAATAATACCTTTACATGATATGTGACATTCTATGGAATTTTCATGTATGATGTGTTTTCATATATGTAAAATGACCATCATAAAATAAAAATAAAATAAAATAATATACTCTGCTCTGTTATTTAAAATTTAAGTATATATATACTGATATATATTGGTGGCAAATATAGCTACTTTGCAATTAATTGCTAAAATGAAAAAGTTCAGAATGTACATATAATATTTACTTAGATATAATAACAGAAAATGTGTGACAGGAGAAATAAACAGTTTTCTGAAATTGTCATTGAAAACTGCTTGATAATTATGCATAGGCATATTCCTAATGCTAGCCTTCACATCTTTTTTTTTTTAATAATTATAAACAGAGAAAGAATTTTGAGCTTTTTATGTATGTGATGTCAACATGAAGTACTCAGTTGGGGAGCCAGGAATTTTGAAAAAAGGAAGGGGTAGTTAGAGGTCGGGATGGAGCCCAAAGCTACGGGGCGCCGTTTTAATATTTACTATTCGAATCAAAAAGGTGATATCACTTTTTGGCAATAAATACCAAAACGGCGCCCCATACAAAGCCGCACAAATCTGATGTATATTTTGGACAAAAAAGGGGGCTCGGGCCCCTGGACCCCTTAAATCCGCCAGTGCTACTGTACGTAATCCTCAGAAAGACATCTCAAAGACAAATATAGATGTATATCAGAATCGTTTTTCGCCCAAACTATACAAAATGGCACAAAATTCGAAACATGTAATGAGGGTTTATGCATTAAAGCTTTCTGATTCCATATGTTCTGTTTTTTGGAATTCCCATGGGTACCAATTGCGTCTCGTTATTAGCAGATTTAGTTTTGTATTTATATAAGGCAGAATTTCTTAAATTTTTCAAACTTTTATAGATGAGAAGAAAACAATTGCTGTGGCCTCTATTCCAGTGAGCTTGAAATGAAAGATTCACTAAGTCTGACACGTCTGTTTCATACATGTAATGGTAACCTAATAACAAAGCTGTATGATAAACACAATGACCAACTTTTCAATTGTCAGCTTCCCTTACTCATATACATGTAACATGATACGCTTATCACCTGCACAGGTTAATAATTGATTTTTTCTTATACAAAGTTACTTAATTATTGACAAACAAATTGATAAAACAAGGTATCGACAGTCTCGATCATTCAAATTTAACATTTCGTAAGTTCTATATGGTTTAATACAATAATTAACCTTGTCAGCAAATATTATCTTTCATTTAATTAGTCAAAATAATGTTTACTGACGTTTTTTTCATACTAATTGTTAGGCCATTATTTACACACTGAATTGTCTACGGATTTTTTCTGTTATTTCCAAACCACGGTGAAATTGAACAGTCGGCAGGGGATGCTCACTCCTCCATGGCACCTGATCTCACCTCTGATTTATGGAGGCCCTTGTTTGATCTACTCCTGATTTGTACTGTTAAAATGGAATTTTGAGCTTAAATACTGTTGGTTGTCTCCATGCACATATTTCATAGTTAATATTGTTAAAAACACAAATATTTAAGAGAAATTCCAGCTAATCACAGTTGAACTTTTCTATGACATCATAGAAATAATTAATGAGGAAACAGGAATATTTTAAATTCATGACTATAGACGCGGAATTCAAACAAAAAGTACTTCCTTTTAATCTTGAACAAATTGTGTAGAAAGTAGGAAATGCTCGTATATACGAGTGATCATCTGTGCCTCAAAATCCCCCCTTTTTTATTTACATTATCCTCAGTCTAATTAGAATTAGACATTTTATCTTGCACTTCACGAGCGTCAAATAAAATTTCGAAGAGCGAGAGGAAAAGTATAATTTGAACCAGATGAAGTGACTATAGAGATACCAAGAGGGAAACCTGCAGCTGGTCTCTCACAGTACAAAACAATTACTGGAACTTAACGTTGATTTTAATGTTTATCGCTGATTTGCAGATCGCATTTTGCATCATGATCACAAAATTTTTAACACCCCTTCCAGAATATTTCACTCATATATTTAGACGCCACCACTTGTCAGTGGAGGGCTTCAAAATTAAATCTGTACACGGTACTTATATATAGCCCTTCAGCAGTGAAGAATCTTTTTTGTGCCACTATACCTACTGCTACACGGGATCTTGGTTTACATGGCCTCATCCAAAGGACCGGTCTCCACGTCCCGCGGTGGGACTTGAACCGCAGGCGAAAGGATAAACTCCTTACTTCGCGACTCTAGAGGAAACGCCCTTACCACTGCGCCCGCTAAACCTTAATTTTTTCCCCCAAAACTGAAGAAGTTTGGAACTCTTTATCGGAATAAAAGAAATAATATGCTTTAGATTTTTTTTTTATCAGATCTGAGTTGTCAATTTAATTGCCAATAACTTTAGGGCGAAATTGAACTTATTTATAATACGTGCAAAAATGCATGAGGCAATTTTTTCTCTCACTCTCGGTCAGTTTTTTTTTAAAAAGGAAATTACTGCCATTTTCAATTATACATAAAACAGGTGTATAAGTAACTAATGACTTGGAAATTTCCGGAATTAATGTGTATCTTTACATGTAATAATTTTAAAATATTTTGCTCTCTCTTTTCTGACGTACTTTTTTGGAACATGTAAAAAGAGCATACTTTCAAATATATACAGGTATTAAATATATTACTGATATAAATAGAAATATTTCTGCAACAGCCTTTACTTTTTCAGTGTTTTTTTTTTAAAGTTTCAATATGTTGGAATAGATTTATGCATTTTTTTAAAATTATGTATTCTACTCAGAAATCAACTTGTAAAAAATGATAATAATCGATTTTTTTTTCATAAAGTAAAAGGCAAAAAATAAATGTGTTCTAAATATTTATTAGAATAAATTCTCTCCCAACGGCTTTCATGAAGGTTTCGAGATCACCATAGGAAATTCGTGTTGTGAATCGACCATCAAGAGGATGAAAGTTCAAGGACGTTTCTCCCTTGAGATTTTTCGCAAAAACTACCTTAACATTTTCGGTTGAATTAAAAAGCAAAGAAAAAGGGGTTACAAAGTTAACTTTCAAAATGTTTTTAAGTTCTCTGTGGCTGGCAAAAGAGAAATTGCGGTAGGCGTTAACTTGTTTCTTCAGAAGTTTCAAATCTAAATCGGAGTCTTCTTTATAAACAACGAGATAGAACACCCCTTTTCTGTCCTTTAGGAAAAGATTTTTACAGTAAGTTGTGGAAAATTCATCATCTCTTTCATTCTGTTCCCGATATCTAACCGTTTCCATGGTGATACCCAAGCCCTCCAAAAAGCGAAGTAACTGCACTGCCTGGGAATTTCTTATTTTTGGTGCCAATGTGTAACGTCCGTCTCGGACAAGATGTGAAAATGGCGTTACCCCGGGCAATAGAGCCCGGGAGTAAGCCTTCAAGACCGGCGTCGCCATTTTGCTGGTGGTTGTTGACAGGAAATAAATTCCTGCCATATTGTGAAGATGGAAAACTCCCCCAGTGGTTAAGGACAGTTCCAGTCTTTTCCTGGGGATTCCCTGACATCCCCTTTTAGACGTTTCTTTTTTCTTCCCATATTTCTCCGCCAACTTCTAGCGTTAGCAATCGCTGTACGTCTCTGTTTTTTCCTTAGGTAATTTCATGACATGCACATCACCAACATGTTCTTTTTTCTAATACATTTCTTCTAGCCTTACAACGATTTCTATTCCATTTTTTGAAGTCTTTAATATTCCTGAAAAGCATAAAATATACAATTCAAATAAATAGATTGATCAAAAGAAAAAAAATTCCCACAGTTTATAATTAATAAACAATTACCTAAATATATGAGAAACAGTAAAACATTTGAAAATGCTGAATGTCCAATTTTAGGATCTTGTACCTTTCGAACGTTACTCCTCTCTTTATAAACCTATATTACATGTACAACACCCATGATTTACACATCTAACATTAAAAAAGTAATATTAATCATGTTAATGATCGAATTTTTATATTCTTGACAATTAGAATTACAGAAACTTTTGTGATCTTCATTCTTGACGTCTAAAAATGTTAACCCCCCCCTTTCCAAAAAATGTTCAAAGACAAACATTGTGTAGTTAGTTAAAAATGAGGAACGTGTATGCTAGAACTTTCAACAAATTAATCTCGAACCGGTTCTTTCAGATTAATATTTTTTGAAAACGTGCTAATTTCAACGATTGTTGAGTTTATTTCATGAAAATGTAGACAGTCACACTTAAAAACGCACCTTACCTTTTATTAAAAGTCTCTACGTTGTATATTTATTTGCCTTTGTGCGTTTCTAGGGGGTATTTATTCGTTTATTCCATGACTTCGTACTTCGAAAGTTCCAATATCAATGAGCTATCCAGTGAAGGGTGTTAATAAATATAATATGCCAAACGTCATATTTTATTTTTAGACGAAAAGTTTCAAACTATTGCATCAGAAAATAGAAAGCGGTAAAGAAAGACAACTCGAATATCCATTTAACAACGACAGAGGCGGATCCAATAATCCAAACATTTGTCGTTTACTATTGTTTATTTCAAAATGTAAATACTTTACATCAAATTAATCGTTTGTACACACAAACGTCCAATATTTTCCAAAAAAAAAAGAAAAGAAAAAAAGAAAGGAGAGGAAGCGCCGTAATATTGTAAAATTCTTTTTTGCAAAATTATTATAATCATAAAAAAAATCCCAATAAACAATTGAGAATTTACAAAATCAACAGAATAACATTATACACCTAACTGAAATCAAAATATTTTCCGGATTTTTATCGAATAGTCTCTTGCTGTATTTTTTCAAAAACGTGTAATTACATTCTTAAAGAGTTTCTTCTGAAAATGTATACACAACAACCCCAGGACCTTTAAAACGTTTCTAGGCCAAAAATTTCAATTTTATTAATTTAATTAACTTCGTACTTCGAATTCCAATATCAAAAGATATATCCAGTGAAGGGTGAATAAATATAATATGTACGTCATTTTTATTTTTAGACGAAAAGTTTCATAATGCATCAGAAAATAAAAGCGGTCTAAAAATTTATCCATTCAGTTTTTTAAATTTAATTCTTTAAAGGAAGAACAGACCTTACATTTAACAAACCGAAAAAAAATAAAAACTAGGCAAGGGCTCATGTTATACACCCTCAGCCTTTTGCTATAAAACCCAAGATAGGTCATCAAAAAGTTACAATGAATATTAAAAGTTTCATCAAATTTCATTATACATGATAAACATCTAACATTAAAAAAGTATGTAATATTTTTATAAAAAGCGAAAAATAAAGATTCACACATCAATTTAATTTATGAAAAAATATTGACAACCCCCATTTAGACCGATTATTGAATAATTAATAAGGCGGCCCATGGAAAAGTTGTTAGTTAGTCTTTATCCTCAAAAGTCATTAAAATATGAAAATCTATAACATATATATATATAGGGCAGACTATAGGGTGTAAGTTCTCTGGAATATATAAAATCGATAGATGAATGAAAGTAACTATTGTTTATTGATGGATAATGTGCATCTGATCCCAACTTTGATGTTTTATATGTTCTGTGTTTGCTCTTCTCCCCATTTGTATTATTTTATGGAGTTTTGAGCTTAAAAATACCGTTCTTCATCTTTATATTTTTATCTTAATGACGATTTGAAGGCCGGAATGAAATGAATGAGACAACAATTCAAGCATAGATTGTTAAATAAAACACATTGAGCAGTGAACAAAGCTTAGATATAATATTTAAAGCAATATGAGCTGCAACTTTGATGTTTGAAATTTTTATTGCAAAATTCTAATTAATTATTTCAAAAACAGGGGAAAGGAACATTTATAATCTTCTTTTGTTCATATTTGCTATGCAAGGACTTTTTATATGCTATATAATTGAAGCAAAATTGCAATAAAGTCGTCCTGTACAATAATTGATTTTTCAAATAATACTATATATTTATTTTACAGAAGTCTTTCTTTTAAAACAATTTAATACTTTATCTTAGTTTAATTGAACATAAAGATTTAAATTGTATAAATATTTACCATAATAACACATTTTGACGCCAAAATAAAAATCTTATTAAAATGCAGTTCATATTGCATTAAGGATTTTTGAAGGACAATCTCGAGAAGACAAATATGGCGGACAAAGAAAAGTCTTTAAATTATTTTTCTTTTACAAATTGTCTTGGGCTTTTCTTTTCTTTTCTGTTTCCATGATAACATTTCTTTTTCTTTTACGATTTGAGCTTTTCTCTTTTTCTGACTACATGGCAAAATTTCAAAAGTGTGATGCACAACTTGGTAATTATATCATTGAAATTGTCCGAGTTATCTCCGAAATTCCTCGACTATATAATATTAGTATTCAAAGTGCAATGGATTACCTGTCTCACATAACTTATAATTTGCCGCTTCTAATGCTTAATACAGAATCACTTGAACACGTGGTTGTTATAGGCTGTTCTATTTTTTCAAACTTGAGCGTAAACATACAAACACACACAGACAAAAAAATCCTCCAAAACATGTATCTAATTTCTTCTTTCACTAAGAAACCAAACAAATCAACAGATAAACACAACGATGTTAGTGTTTTTTTTAAATTAATTTTTTGAAAATAGTCTTAAAGATATACAT